TTAAGGACCACGTCGGGTTGTGCGAGCGGAGCGTGCGGGGGGTCAAAGGTGAAAGTGCGGCGAGGAGGGTAGCGACGCACGACGCGCCGTGGCTGCGGGCACGTCTCGACGGGACGATGGGAAATGACGCGAATCCTAACGGGCGTGTTTTCACCAGGAACATAAAAACTTCGCGTCTTTTTAAAAATGTTTGCCAAAGATGTCTCATTCGTTTAAACAAAAAAAAACACCACGCAAGTTCAATCCTTAATTTCCTCAATGTTTAAAGCGCATAAAGGGTTGTATTGGTTTTTGACAATTGTGCAGAATGACTAAATGAATTTTGGAGAACACTGGTGCCGTGGTCTAAGGGTCAACACACTGGACTTGCAATCCAGAGGTCACCGGTTTGGTTCGAACACCTGGCAGTTTATTTTAAATGGGCACGTCACAGTGAGTCGATCGGTGACTCACATGTGGGTGGAGTAAAGTGTGGGTACTCCCCGACTCTTCCAACACGTCTGGCCATGATGGATGAGTAGGCCAAATGCCCTCTTAGTGGGGCTCTCTAAATCTCTCTCGAGTGGAGACCCACCAGCAATGGTGTTAGCAAGCAATTGCAGGGCCACACTTTTACCACCACCTAACCTACCTTTCTACAAATGTTAATTACCCCTGGGTGACATTATATCTGGGATATTCATGAAACTTAGCGTTCATTTTAGAACTGTGCGTGGAAAATATGCATTACCTGGCCGTGCGTAAGGACTCGCAAAGTGGAGAGGACTGCACGCCTACGGAATGATGATCTCGAGTGTGGACTTAGTTTTCTCAAATCATCTTCCGTCCTGTGAGTGCAACGGGATTTTTTTTTCTTCTAAACAAATAATAAATAAGTCTATTCACGACTGCGTAGGTTTTCCGCTGTCGCGCCGTGCAGCCTCTCTCACGTCTTTCCGGATGGCACCGCGCGTCGTTCGGCACAATGTCCGACGTTTTCGCCCCACTTGCTGGGATCTTCTTCAGCAACTGAATGTTGGGTGTGGTTTAAGAGGGGAAGCTCTGTTCTCCTATCGCGTGGTACAACCCAAGATAAAACGCATCGGGGAGCCAAGTATAAAAGTATAATAATAAGAGTTCCTTGCAAGTTTTGTTGTTGTTGTTCAGATCTTTCCTAATCATATTTACAATCGAGCTTGAGAGTTGATTACCGCACAGTTGAGATACTTTCAGAAAACCCTCCACTGCTCCCTTTTCCAATCTCAGTTCTGGGCCACGTCTGTGACCGGAGGCACCAACAAAGTGGCACTTTGAGGATTAAAAAGAAATCCTACGCCTATCAACTCAAATCCTCCGGATTGTAATTTTATATACACACATATATGTAAAAAAAAGATCTGGACGTACAACAAACTAAATTCTCAATTTGCTCAAAAAAATGCTTTACAGTAATTCACGCCGCTCATTTGGATGGGCCGTGATGCTGTGGAGTTATGGCTTCGTGACACGGAGTGAAAGTTATTGGCGTCGTGTTAGCGGTTGGGGTCTCTGTTGGTGGCATGTGCATCTGTACCGGCTCCTCCGCTCTTCATTGGGTGGTGCAAATCCATTTTTTCGCTGCTAAAGTTGAATATTAACGAAACTTGATTTTTTCCCTCCTTCCTTCTGTGTGTTTTTTTCTCCTTCGTTTTTAAACTTGTAACTGCAAAACAAAAAAATGTTGGCGAGAATCCATTTGCTCCGTCAATCGTGGAGTTTTTGGAGCTTGCCATTGTTATGGCTTTCACTGTCGAGCGTCCAACTCGTTTGCTGCTCTGAATTTCTTTTTTATATCTACAAAAACGATCAAGCTTAAATTGCGTTCAAAATAAACGCATGGTGCAAAGTGTAGCCGTGGTTAAACAGCCTCTGCGCTGGGTCGGGGGGAGTCCTCCCAGGGCATTCGAATCGAGCGCCGAGCGAGGCTCACCGTGGTGCTACACTCGCGCGCACGTGGATTGAAACGATTCCAGTCACGAAAAAAAATGATTCTATTTTATTACTCACGTTTTGTTTCCCGTCCATCACGCCTTTGGATGGACTTGAACCGGTTGGACGCCGTCAGCGTGTTTGATTTTTCTTCTTCTTATTCTGCGTTACGCATTTACGGGAGCCACTTGAGACGGAGGGTTTTCGTGTTAGGCATACTATCCAGGGAACAGCTACGTAGCAATGCGGTGCGATTTTTTTTGTTGTTGTTGAACTTTTAAGGTTTTTTTTTCTCGCTTCGAAAGACTTTTGTTCATTTACAGTAACGGATAATTATTGATCGCTGCGTTTCGCTTAAGGTGGTCGTGTTGATCGGTGCGCGGCAATCGAAGCCCTTTAAGTAACGTGTCCGTATTTGCCCCCGACGTGGTGCCGTAGCGCGGTAGCTTGAACCCCGCTGATCCGCGTAAAAAAAAAAATCGAGTCCTGAGTGAGCAGTGGAAATTTCACGTTTCTACGTCAGCGCTCTGTAAGGTGAGAACCAGTGTTGACTTTCCCACCAGTTGGTATTGAGGTGGACCGCATCTCTGTTCGGGGTTGAGGGAAGGTGTCTTCAGTTGCTCTCGGGCGAGGTGAGTGCCCAGAGAAATTTGGTCTCGTTACAAAGTTTGTTAGCGGGCGGGCGGCCGAGGGGGTGGGTGGGTGGGCGGATGGGCGAGCGGGCAGGCGTCTGGTGTGGTAAAAGAATGCCTTTCACTCCCACGAAGTGTCACTATGCAAAGAGGTGGCATTTACTGACCGATACAACTGCACCGGAATTCCTCCATGAGTCTTCATCCCATCATTTACTATGTAAGCTGGGTTCGAACTAGGAAATTCAAGGTTTCGTGGGATCAATGAGGCATTGACGCTCCCGAAAGTGTGACGCACCCAAATCCTGTGCCCGTTGTCAATAAAGTTTTACAAATCTGGTCTCACACACACACACACACCTATCAAATTTTACTTTAAAATACAGGGCAACATTTTGATTTTATAATCTGGAGAATGTTTAAAAAAAAAACACATTTCGAGTCTCAAGATCCTTTTTCAGGAGGGCCGTCCCTCGAGGCTGTTCTTGCGAACGATGAAGGGTTTTGTTTGCCCTTCAAAAATAGAACACGTCCGGGGGTATGTTGGGAACCAGCTTGCCACGCTGTTCTCTGCAGACCACCGTGCGGGCGACACGAGCCATCGGAAAATATCTTACCGAGTGAGCGGTGCGTTGGCTCAGTTTTAATTCCGGGACGATTCTCCCACCCCGTGGACACGGGGAGATCTGTCTGGAGCATCGAACGGCCCTGACCAAGACGGGAATTTGCCGCGCAATTTTCTCACCGCGGCTCCACGCCACAAGGAAAACGAGCGCGCGATGTCGCGTGCAAAGAGCACGTTTCCCTGCTTGTGGGAATGCTATCCGTTACACAGTTACATTGCCAATAAAAATGAACTTCGATTTTTATTGTGACGTTCAATGCAGACTTAAATAGATTTACAAAAACAATTATTTGGTAGTGTAGTATGCAAACGCTTATACGGCAAATGCTAGTTTTGTAATCGTACGGGCTGATTTCTCCTCCCGCCCTGACTAACGTGGCGGAATTTGTTTCATGTTATCCGAGGTGCGAGAAAAATCACTGTAGTTGTTGTTATTATTTAACTTTGTTTTTCCCTTGGTTTTGGTCGCTATAAAAAAACAATCCAACACTTATCAGCACTTTACTTGTTCCGATGTCGCTAGCAATTCAGAAATGCAAAGCGCAACAGCCCAAAAAAATTTTTCTTATAATTTACCACATTACGCCGTCACCATTCCACACTCTGCTGTAGTCTGTCGACTTTAACAAACTTGTCTTCTCTTTTTCCGTGTTCTTTACGGTTTTATTTTATTCTGGGTTTTTTTTTGTTTTGTAATAACTGTAATGAACGTAGTTGTGCTGTACTTTATTGAACGACACAAAACTGTGCGGTGTTGTTTTTGTTGATGTTTTATGCACACCATGCAAGTTGAAAAATAAAGAGCTCACTCCTCTGCGTGTGGCTGTGCGTGAGTAGATTTTTGTCAGTTTCTTTCGGAAATTATCCAATTGCATTAAAAGTAACCTAAAATAACCGCTAGGGTGTTAACCCACATATTAGTTTTGTTTAAAATTGGTCGAATAATCCTTCACGTTGTTGAAAACATCCATTATTTTCACGTCTTGAAATATGGATCGTAAAGATGGAGAGGGACACATTATTTTTTTTTCATATTTTATGGACAAGTTATTGATGTTAAAAATAATACATCCGTTTTTTTTTGTTAAAAAGAAATCAGTTTTTTAATGAAAAATCCACGGGGGTTTTTTACTCAAAGAAAAATTGGTCATTTAGTCATCCCATTTTTGTGAATAATGCTTGGATTTATGTAAGAAAAACGATTAGAGTTGAAACCATTAGGTTGCTGCAGACATGAGGCTCAGCCAAAGTCGGGGTGCAGTGGGGGCAATGGCTCCTTGGTGCACGGTGAGAAATTTAGATGTCGATTGCAACCTTAAAAAAGCGACAAACTAACCCATGTCGTTTTTGGTCGAAAATCGATTACAAATATTACCCTTATTTTTTGGATGAAAACCCTTTTCGTACAATGTAACGATCCTAAATAAGCTTCAGTCGATATTAATCTCAAATATTCACGTTAAATGTTTTCAACCTGGTGGAAAAATCGCTGAAATGTTATGTGCCCCAATTGTTGTGTTTAATACCATTCTCAATGCACTGCAGCTTCGCTTTGCTCTTGGTTGCTGCACTTAACTTTCAATAAAACCACGAACAGTACACTGAACAATGTCAACAAAAAATCACAGTGGAAAATAGTTTTCGTTACTCTGCAAAGTTTAATGCATAGCCGCCTAAAGCATCATTGGTAAATTTCACCAATGGGTCAGTTTTGTCCGTAACAGCAAATATACACTCTTATTTCCTCCACGATTAACTTCAGCTAGTCATTTTTTCTTAATGAGCACACGCATGACAATTCTCACCCTACGGTACAAAAATTAAAACCCACCGGAATATGCAGCTCTTCTGACCACGCAATCTTATATAAATATAAATCCATCTGCCCCAGGGCTTAATTTAAAATATATATTTTCTGGAGCTCAGCCCCAGACATCTCTGGCTGAAATTAATTCCTCTACTCACCAATCTCTTCCCAGCAGCAATCAGGGGACACCTGCAATATTTAGCAATGAATACCTCCACTGGTAATAGTCCTCCTTAGCATCTGTCCCAAACAAAATTGGAGAAATATAACAAGATAACAACGACACAGGCAGCACATTTACAAACAATATAACGGAGACACTGAAGGTTGGAAGAGATAAACTGGAAGTTTTTAAATGTGTGACCGTCAGCCAGCCCTGTCGGGGGTATATTTTACACCGGAGTAAATTCAAGTAACGAAAATTGGGTTAGGTCATCACCAATCCATGCTGACCAGAGTGTCGAAGGATTATCAAACGACAACCACAACCGACAGTGTGGGAGTGCCTTCCATCCAGAAGTGGACTGATAAAGAGCTGTAAATTACAAATATGACAATATTCATCATTTTATTGCTCAGTCCTTCGTGAAGGTCACACCAGATGATCGATTTACAAATCCCCACACTACACGGTGTTTGAGGTTTATCAAGAGGCATATTCCTTAAGGAAGCCTCTTTGTGACATCTACACTGGGATAATTCTCCGCTGTGTTTGTGGGTTGTGTCCGTGCGTTGTCCGTCGCGATGTCCGACTGTTCACCCCACATGCTGCGCGTTTCTTCTCGTTCCTAAGAGAAAACTTTCCCCGCATGTGTAGCGAACCGTCGGACATTGTACCGAACAACCTGCGGTACAACCTCAAAAACACGTCAGGAGAGCCGTTTATGACAACCTCCGAAAAGGAGCTACACCGTGATTTTGTTTTTTAAACCCGTGGCAAGAATCTCGGCTGCAAATATCAATACTCCCACTACACGGTATTGGAAAGCCACAACGCTTTGTTTCAAAATACCTCTCAAATTCACGAGCGAGTGAGGACATTGTAAGCGGGTCTCCCATATTTTAAAGTGAAAACTACATTAAAAAAAAATCACAAAAGTAACGTCCTTACCCACAAGTCTTGTGGTAGACAGCGCATGTTAAAAAGGACACGGTCCACAAATTCAGATCGCGAGCACTAACTGCTCCTCGGTGGCTCTACGATGTATTTTAGGGCTTTGACAATTCAGTTGCCGAAGACGATCCTCGCGTGACGAGTGAAACGCCGGAAATCGCGTTCAACGCGAACATACATCGGACAGCTCAGCAGCACCAACGCGAAAACCGACGCAGCAGCAGCACGAAACGTCGGCAATTCATCAACACGTCAACACAGCGAAACAAATGTACGTGTGCATACATATTACTTCGTGTTGAGATACACTGAATTTTACAAGCAATCAACCAACTGCGAAAAAGCTATTTTTGAGAAAAACCTTAAACTGCTGTGGGCAAAGTTCACACTTGAGAGCGTTCATGTTAAGATGCTGCCGATAGCGAGCAGAGTAATTTTTTGCATAGCAAATACACATTTTAAAGTGCAGGAGTTCTCAAACGCCAGTCGCTAGCGACGCACCGCAATGCACACGCACGCACACCTAGCGCGTGCACCGTTTGCTGCAGAGGCTCGCGGTTCGAATCCAGCGGCTGCCCTGGTTATCAACGCCGGTGTTGGCAATAACCGTGGCGACACCACGCGCCCTCTGCTTCACAGCGGAGGTTGAAGAGCCCCGTGACGACGTGATTCGCGAGAGTGGGCCGGTCCGTGTGTGCCACCGTCAGGGTCCAAATTTCGAAAATCGATCCGCAAAAGGACTCGATCGGGATTATATATAATCATCGTCCCCCACGGGCAGACGAATGCCCCAGGTCGCCCTTGCAAACAATACGGACTTCATCTTGGTCTCTTAAGTTCTTACCTGGTGGCATAAAATTAACGTTGATCTTTCCAAGTTCAACCAATCGCCTCTGTTCAAATACAAACTAAGTGGTCACATGCTGTGCACAACCGATGATTGTGAAGCACGTGCCATAACACTGGATAATTTGTAAAAAAACAAAAACATATAGAGGCAGACCTCCTTTCTGTGTCTCCGCATAAATTAAATACATTGCCCTGTGAACCCATGGTCTTCCCAGCCCACTCATTATCCAGTAGCATGCGTTTCAGCACGGAAACTCTGAACCAGTTTCGACTTTCTGTGTGTCAGCAGCAGATTCAGGATTGTAAAAGATAACGTTTACTGGGGTGTCAGACGTTATTGGCAAGAGCACTCCGTCTAAACGATGCGTTCCTGTAACAACAATAAAATTGTAACTGCATTGTATACAAACTCTTTTTCGGAAGCATTATTGGCGAAATCAAACGTGCAAGCAGAACCTGCTTCGAATTGTGCCCATGCCTTTGCCGGGTAACTTTCACCACCTTCTCGCGTGAGACAACACGCACGCACACATAATCAAGATGGCCATCTGGATTTAAATTATCACTCGGCTGTCGCATGGGGACACTGTCTAGCAAGAATGAGCAGCGTGCAGCATGGCTCTCAAGTTTCTTGCAGCGGGGGGGGGGGGGGGGTGATGTTGTTGCTTTGTGTGATCCCAATTGAGTAATTAGAAAGTACCTTTTCAGCACTGGGATGTTTAGCCAATATCAGTTACATTGTAAGTTTCACTTTATAGAAGTAAAGAGGAAACTCATGCATAAGAGGGGGATAAAATAAAAACTCCACGCAGAAAAGCACCTGGGAAATCGAACCCAGTTATTTGTTGCTACCGCTGCGCCAACCACCAAGACTCGTGAACATGGTAAGGCAGACAAGTGGTGGACTGTGATGAGTTTGAGAAAACCCTGTTATGTATATATACACTGCATATTAAATATGTACAAACTCAGTTGAAATCACCCCCCCCCTCCCCCCCCCAGACACCATCCACAATTTCTCCATTCAACAAAAGCCCATCCATCAGCCAGCACAGTCAAGCAACGCAGCCAGTCGCATGGCGATCACCAAGCCACCGACAATTTATCGGTTCGCCGAGAGGGGGTGGAGCGTCGTGAAGCTTTGCACGCCTAGTACACGTGTAACGTCATTTCACGCGTAATTATCTTAGAACGCTATTGCTAATCACATAAACATACGAAACGAGGTGCATTAAATACGAAGCAGGTGACCAGTTTAAGAAGGAACGCACCAGCGAGTGATTCCCTACAGATCATTGCTCGACATTGTACGCAAAAACAATTGCCTCCAGCGTGATATTTCATGTTTGTTCCCTTCTGCATGTCACGCCAACTCCTTATGCATCGCAAAAAATCACAAAAGGCACTCGGGTCAAAACAGTCTTAAGGGCAGGCCGCGTGCGGTGGGCTAAAGTGTGGCTACTCCCAACTCTTCCAAGACGCTTGGGGGCAGCATGGTATAGGAGACCCAAACACCCTCGAGCGAGATGACGCAGACGGATGGACGTGCGTATGATCGTACACGCAGACACACAGCGAGAGAGACGCACGTGCACGCAAGACCCCACGCCGCATACAGGCAAGAGACGCAGGCCACGCGGGTAGCGGTAGGTCGCGTGTGCTGGGCGGGATGTGCGCGCACACCCATCTCCTTCCAAGATGATTGGGTCAGCGTGGAAGAGTAGACCAAAACACCCTCTAGCGGAGGTGGCGTGTGCAAGAAATTGCGGGGATGTATCTTTCCCTTTACCCGCTTCGGTCAAAAGCGAATTTTTTCAAATTGCGGTGCCGTTAAAAGAGAGGCAACGCGTTTCAGGTGTGGCCGCGTTTAATCGTTTCTTGCTAACAAGTAGAGCGACCGGATCGCGTAAAAAGCACACACGCGCGCAAGCGGCCACTCTTGTTCACATGTGCCCGTTGGATTGGCCCTCGGTTAGCCCGAACTTCCGAAGCCGTGGACGGGCGTGTTTCGAGTTTGTGTCCGTGTCCGAGTGCGACCGACTCCTGTCCCGTTGCGTCGAGTCGCCGTGCCCCTCTCGTCGCGCCCGCCACTTTAAGCTGATCTCGCTGCACACACAAAAGCACGAACAGCACCACCACACGAACACGCTCGGTCAGCAATACAGCACCACCACACGAACATCATATGAACTGTTAGTAAAAGTAAGCGCACTGGGGCAGGCTACGTCGCGAGCTGGGACGATGGTCAGTGTTCGACAAGCGACGGAGTGGAAGCCCAGGAAAGGAAGATTCTCGAGAGTGCGTCCACCGTGGAGATGGAGCGATGAAATCAGCTCGCGCGCAGGAACTAGACAGATCGTTGCAACCCGAGACCGCGTTGCCTTGGGGAGACCTTCATCTAACAGTTGATAGATCACAGTTGACTAAGATGGATGGAAGAGGTCACATTTAAAGACACACAAAGCCTTCAGCATACGTTTTACGTCCAATTTCTATCGTCAATTCAATATCCCTTGCAATGTAATTTAATGTCCTCATCACATCAAGATTTTTATAGTGCCTTAATCCAAGGCGCTTTATAACAATTCTAAAAATGGTAAATATGATCAAAGTGGTTGATATAAAGAGTGGGGGTTATTAAAAGCGGTGGTATAGTTATGGTGAAAGTCGAGAGAACAGGAGGGAGATGTTAAGGAGGGGATGTGATCGGGGTTGGGGTATGCCTGGTCATGGCTGGGGTGCAGTGAGTAGCAATAGGGGTAGTGATAGGGGTAGTAATACGGATTGGGGTAGTAATAGGGTTTGGGATAGCGATCGCGGTTGGGGTATGCCTGGTCATAGCTGGGGTGCAGGGAGTAGCAGTAGGGGTAGTGATAGGGCTAGTGATAGGGGTAGTAATACGGATTGGGGTAGTAATAGGGTTTGGGATAGCGATCGGGGTTGGGGTAGGGCTGGTCGTAGCTGGGGGGCGGGGGAGGTAGCAGGAGCGGTAGTGATCAAGGCAGTAATAGGGGTTGGGGTAATCGTAGCTGGTAGGGCAGGGGCCAGGGAGTTGTAGTAGCAGGATGGGCTCGGGTGGAGGGGGGGGGTTATAACAGTGCGAGCTCACCGGATGAAGAACCTCCACACGGTCCACGCAAGGACGCCGGTCACGCCCAGCAGCCAGCACTGCGCCACGTGGAAGGGGAACGGGCGCGACACCGTCTCGGGGTCGTACTTGATGACGATGAGGAACTCCGTCATCGTCACCGCCGCCGTGATCCACGCCTGCTGCCCCAGCTTACGGCTCAGCTTCCTGCCGGCGATCGAGGTGTTAGTCGGGCAATCGGTCAGTTCAACTATTTAACCCTTTCCCATGCGAATGACGATTCCGTTTAGATGACGTAACTTTATTGGTACCGAGGCTCCCACAAGGCCATGTGGGAGGCAGTGCGGCACAGTTTGGCGCCAGCTATCATAGAGTGTGTTCGTGTCGCTACAGCTCTCTGTAGTGAGTACAATGTCTTTAAAAACCAGGGCGCTACGCCTCTTAAAATAAAATTAATGCCGAACCGCTTTCGCGTTCCGAGATTCGGCGGTGAACGAGACACCCACCCCGCAACTTGCAGACGTCTCGGAACGGGAAAGGGTTAAGCAACCCACGCAAAAAAAAAAAAACTAATCAGAATGTGCAACTAGCTGGTCACAAGCCCACTCTACAAATAGATTAAAACAAAACAATTATTGCAGAGCATCGATGAGATGAATGTAATGTCCACCAGGTGGCGGTCTACTCATTGAAGTGTGAACACTGCCTTGGCGGTCCTTTGCTGGAGTGAAGGTCTCCCAAGGCTCAGTCACGGAAAAGCCCGAGAGCTGTGTGGCCTTACTGTACCACACTCGTCAGTGCAGGTTCGTGTTTTGTACAGAAGTCCAAAGTAGCTTCGCAGTTAAAATGTAAGGCTGTAGTAAATATACAAACCCCATAGTTTAGCATTCGACTCTTCGGAGTACTGTGCGATATTCTTCCTCTGCCCATGCATGATACGTATCGGTGTTGTGCACCAAAACGGTGGCAACCCTGAGTGCGTATTGGGTTTTCGCAGACAAAATAATTATCGATAATTAATTTTGTGCGTCAGGCCACATAATCACGTGGCCAAATTTATGTCGCGTAGACCCTACCCACAACCCGACACGACCAAACAAAATGCGACGCGTCAAAGTGTTTAACCCGCCGGTTACCGTTCTTATTGTTGCTTTTGTTTCAGCTCAGCAGGTCGATGGAGCAAATTCTCACGACCAAATTTAGCAGCAACTCGACGCGTGACGTCTCACTCGCGAAACCGCGCCAGAGCATCGTCCTTGGGGGCAGCATCCAGCGAGTGGGAACATCCCAGAGCCGCCGGGCGAAGACGCACGCACTCGCGCGAGGAGGGCCACTCACGGGTCGTCCAGGAAGTCGTAGACCTCGCGCATGGAGACGGCGCCGCAGTGGATGAAGAAGACGAGGCGCACCGTGATGAGGAAGTGCTCCGGAGCCATCCACAGCACGAACTTCAGGTAGAACGTGTTGAGCTCGGCCAGCAGGAACTGCGGAGCACAGGCGCGACGGACACAACGTGCGCACGCGCGCGTTACTTCACTCGGGGGAGCGGCAGAAGTCGCAACCGGCTACCCGATACCCGTACCCTACCCGATACCCGGCTACCCGTACCCATCCGGGTACGGGTACGGATACGGGTACCCGTTTGCGACCCTGGTGCGGCCGGGTACGGGTACGGGTAGGCCGTGAGTCACTGGTGAGTGACCGTTTGTCACTCATTTCGGGTAGGGTACGGGTACCCATTTGCGACCCTGGTGCGGCCGGGTACGGGTACGGGTAAGGAGTCAAAACCCGTTTGCGACCTCTGGGGAGCGGTGGTGCGGCCTACAAACCGGGCAACCCGAGTTCGATTCCTGCTTGAGGCCAACATCTATCGGCGAATGTGAATCGGTCCTGGGTCTCCCCTAGGTCGAGGCCGTCATCCAGCCATGGATTGATAATCACTATGTGCTTATGGCTTCTGCGTTGTATGTGTGCATGCTGAACTTCTTTCGCACCGTACGTAGCCAACCGTGCTAATCGGAGGTGCGGGTTGGGGATGAATGGCGAGTGGTTGGTGCACTGCGTTAAGAATCCCTCTACCCGAGTTCCCAGCCACGACTAACATTAGATTCCCCGGCCACAGCTAACATCAGTGGAGATATTTGAACCGGTTCTGGGCCTCTCCTAGGACACTGCGGCTGTAAATCAGCACCTGGCACAGTGTGTAAACATCAGCATTGGGAAGAAAAAGTCTGTCAGGCATAGTGCTGGCAACACTATCACCGCGTCCGGCGTATCGGCCTCCATATGCGCTCGCTAACACCACTGACCCCGAGGAGGCTATACGGCAGAGGAGATTAAAGAAACTTGCACATTCTTTCAACTGCCGCCCCGTGTAAAATCGGATTGAACCGACAACCTCTGGATTACGAATCCAGTGTGCGAACAACTACACGACGGAGAGAACAAGGGAAATTGGCGGATGGCTTTACCACGGAGATGATGACGATGACGGCGAGCCAGCGGTGCAGGCTGGACGCCGGCTTCCACGCGAACCGCACCCAGCTGTGCGGCGTGAACTGGAACGCCACGCGCTTGATTTTACCCCTGCGCACCGCACGCACGGGCACGCACGGGCACGCGTCATCCAGGTGCGTAACGTATCCGCGAGATTCACAGCCGCCGTCGTCGTCGTCGTCGTCATCGTCGTCGTCAGCCGCGATATCCTCCAGCCGCTGCCGTTTGTCATGGTCCACCGGGGCGCAGTGATCGGGCGGAAGCGCGATGGCCACACGCGTGGCAGAGGTTCGCCGTTTGAGCCCCATGGCCTTCCTCTGGTTAATGCCGCCGAGTGTACGAACCAAAATAAAACACCGTGCGCAGTCTGCTTCACAGTGGACGTTCAAGATCCCGTGGATGTTCATCGAAAAAGAGCCGGCTATGTTGGACGGGGGGAGGGGTCGTCAGGCGTACGAATTTGGCTAGTTACTTGATTGGGAAAACACATTGCAATCATCGTCCCCGACTGTGAGACTTAGCAGGACCATCATCCTGAAATCAAAGAGTCTTGAGACTCCGTGAGGCTTTCCCTGGGCAAGTAAACGACACTGCTCTAGCTGCTGCACGTGAGACGGCGTCATCGCTCCACTTCCGTGTTGGACATCCTCTCGGGCATGTCCTTGGTAATAAAAAAAACCTATGCAAATAAGACCGGTGAATCTTCAGGGTAGATAATGAACAAGCGCACCTTTAAACAACCTACATGACAAAGTCCTAATCGGGAAACTCACGCTACTGAAATATAAGAATAGGTTTCACCCTTTCTGGTGATAAAACCGGTGTTAGGATGTTCACCAAATCGATATCTTTTGCAAGGAATCAAGTCTGCGTTAACCACACGTACATTGTCTGATAAACAAAAAACGCATTGTCTTTGAAACTGATTGGCCCACACCAGAGACAGCCTTCTTTATGGCCTAGTCTCACCAGTGTCAGACCGGAGAACGCTAAAAGGCGAACAGCACAGAGACAATGCCACACATATAAGAGCCAGAAAGGATAAAAGCTATTCTTATTTTTCATACCTTGATACTGGCAAACAGGTCCCATGATAACGATACCGAGTTGACATCTGCGATCGCGCCGTACGGCTATCCAAAGTGGTTTCGGGTTCTTCGAGAAACTCCCTCTCCTAGCACGTGGAAGCGAAACGTCGGACATCGTGCCGCGGCACAACACACGGTGCGACCCGAAAACCACACGGGGGAAACAGTCCGACAACTTGGTGAAAGCTACCGCGGATGGCACCGTTAAGGGATAATGCTGAATTATTGCATTTGCGCTTTCCAAATCATTTTCTTTATTTGTATTGAATCTTATTTCATTCTTTTTCTAAGTTTTTAACTGATATTGTTATTCTAGCACGTTCATTTAGAGAGGAAAAATGTTTATTCACCGAAATTAATAATTACCATTTAGGTTTTTGCTTTTACCGAGGTCTCCATCGACTATGAATAAAAATCAAAGAACCAATGAGTGATCGGAAGAGACCGACGGTGACTCTCCATTGACTCGCACCTCGTTTTAAATAAAGTACAAGAATGAACGCGTTCACGAGAGACACAAAACTCAACCGTCTTATTCCTGGCTAAAAATAAAGCACGTGAATGAATGAGTTAAAAGAAGCCATCTTGCCAAGAAGGGATAAGCCCCAGTTCTGCGTGTCCCCCCCCCCCGTACCCTCACGGTGCTGGCACCGCCATCCTCCCACACGAAGCCATTCACCCGCGGCCGCGCGTTCAACCGCGGCTCGCGAACAGAGGACACCTTGCACGCTGCCGAGAGGTCATCGCCGGGAGGTCATGGCGATAGCTCGCGTACGGAGCACCACGGACTGGGCCAGCTCGAATGGAGCGAATATTTCCCGCCCGTCCTTGCCGTACTCCCCTCGCTCACCTCACAAGGCTTTTGTTTATGGTAACAAGAAAGACTGCATTCCTGCAGCTGCTGGCTACCACGAGGAGGCATCGTTTTCGAGACCGCTGTTGCCAAATAACATTCGGCGACCCCGGCAGCGTTTGCTGAAAAGGCCGCGCCCTGCTGATGAATCCCCGCAGAAGGCGATGCCACCCACGTTGAGACATCATCATAATCATCATCGGCCATGCGCAATCCACTGCTGGATGAAGGCCTCCCCCAAAGCCATTGCCATCTCTGACAGCTATGTGATATGACAAAGATCCCCCGTATAGCCTGAACAGACTGTTGGGGCAAGTGTTGTTAGGGAGCACCTATGAAGGCAGGCACGGCACACGAGGGGGTGGGTGGCCAGCACCCCACCTGGCCGCCTTTGTCTCCCCCTGTGGCGACGTTTACACACCACAACAGGTACTAATTTGAGGCTTAGTCGACCTAGGGGAGGTCCAGGACGAATTCAGATAATCGTCACTGGTGTTGGCCGTGAGTGGGATTTGAACTTGGGCCGCTAATCCACCTACCACCTGCAAAGAGCCAATTTTCATCTGTCGCTCCATCTCTGTGGAAGATGTCCCTCGGAAGCGTTCCCTCCGTTGGCTGCCACTCTGTAGTTAGTCTCGAGCACCTTCTAGCAGCGTGTCCTGCCTAAATCTACTTGATTTTCTTAACAGTAATATGGAACAAAATGTTACAAGTTTGCAGGAAGTGTGGAGAGATGCATAGTTGAGATTACACCGAGAGACAAGAAGAGGAGCACGTGGATTACAAACCCACACTGGGTGAGAAGTTTTCAATGTTTGTTTTTGTTGTGTCCACAACGCGTCTCCTTATCGTCGGCTTTGCACGGCTTAGATAGGCAGCCATATGACAGCCATGACCTACGGTTCACATGGGTGATCAGAGCGGAGTGTCGAAGCCCGTCGATGATCGTTTGAGTGGAATATTGGGTTGGCAGCACTGACGCTGCGCCCGTCTCGAATGCATATAAAACCCCATGTCATGTGACCAGACATCAAAGGCCGTGTCCGTCTCAACGCGCCCCCCTCTGCCTTCCTGCACCTGTCCCCAACTTAACACGAGCACGGGGTGTCTCACTGAGCAACGAGTGTCTGGTTAACATGTGGTGAGTGTCACGTGAGTGTGAGTGGCGAGTGTGAATGGCGAGTGTCAACTGAGTGGCGAGTGTCTGGTGAGTGTCTAGTGAATGGCGAGTGCCTTGAGTTTCTGGTGAGAGTCTGACGGGTGTTTGCCTAGCGTCCGGCGAGTTTTCGGAGGACACTCGGTGGGTGTCAAGCGAGTGGCAGGTGAGTGATTAGCGAGCGAACGCCCACTTGGGTCTCAAAACAAGGCCCCCGGCGGCACAACTGGAATAAAACTGACGCGGCCCACGTTGAGATGACTTCGTGGTGCCACACCCACGGTGGGGGAGGGAATTTTCATCGACAAGGGGGGGCGCACGCTGGGCGCTCTGAGATGCGTAGCCACGGCGAAGAATCCGGGTGTGTGTGGAGGATGCCACCTGTAGGTAGGAATGCTCCAGAGGTTCTGCCAGCAGTAGGGCTTAATGGACAGCCACTCCAGGGTCTTCATGCCGCAGTAAATGCCCAGCCCGTTGCACACCAGCACGTCCATGATCCACTGGAGGGACACGCGTACACAATTGTCGGCACTGGCTCACCACGTGGCTGCACTCTAGCTTGTCTGGTTCCTCGCGCCTCCGAGTTGTTTCCTCTGTCCGCACGAGTCACCGAATACTGTGCGATGCGTTACAAGTTTAAATGATTGTGCGTGGTAGTCATCCATTCTAGCACTGAGCAGGCTCAGCGAGCTCTCAACACCTAATAAAACAAGCACATTTAGTGTGATTTTGTCAAAGGCCCAGTCATAGGCACGCAGTATCAATTCATCAAAGTTTCTTCAACGAAGCGGGTGAGAGAGCCTGCCAACCCAAGCACGCGCGTGTGCGTGTGCCATGTCGGCTTTCATAGGTGCTCGCTAACAGCACTTGCCCCAACAGTGTGTTTAGGGGGGGGATCTTCATCTTTGTGTGCGTGTGGGACGTACGTGGTCCCACCAACACTCGCTGAAGTTGGGCAGCTGGTGCTCCAGGGAGTACTCCAGGAATTCGAACATCACGCTCATGATGGTGCACATCCACCAGTCCCGGATGACCAGCGTCTGAACGGCACCGCGGAAAAATGAAAACGCGCACACACAGGGAAGGAAAGAAAGTCACGCGCACGTACGTAATTCCGTAACACTTTCCCGCATATACGTTTGTACACGATAGTAGTGAACTGCCGACGATAGGGATAGCCGAGCAGTGATAGAGAAATGTTTCAAGCCGCGTAACGGGATGACGCCATGTGGCACATGACATCAGGCATCGCGAGACGTCACGCGGAATGGCGTTGTCGAGTTTCAAACTGAGATTTAATCGCACGCCAAAGTACAATTTTAATGATATTGGGTCAATTTTACCAGAGTTCGGTAAAGTCACGTAGAAGGGAAGTAATAAAATAATAAAAATAAAACATAATAAAACAATTCTCACGACGTTTCGGCTACAACGCAAGCAGCCGTCTTCAGGTGAAGAATGAGACACTACCAAACTAGGAGCTTATATATAAGCTGCATTGGGGGTTGAAGAGCGCCTTAACAAAAAGAATGTGCATGTGAAGAGGAATTTAGCATATTCATGGAAAATGCGTAGGCGTTGGGCGGGGGGGTGTCAAAGTCATATTATGCCCATGCATTATGCAGGATCAGCAGCAACCAAGGGGGGTGCAGGGATTAGCAGTAACAAAGGAAAGGAATGTTAATGATATGTAGCTGCAGTTACTCAACAACCACGTAGAAAACTAAAGTATAAACTACATAAAAAACTAAAGTATAAACTGCATCGCACCATCAGTATACTTACTATACTCTATAATAAGCTGAGTTACTAACAGCAAGTAATACATTACAATTCTACCTCGTAAAAATTCTATAATATGCTTCCATCTAAACCTTATTCTCTTATATCACACGAGCATATACCGTACTATATACTGCCATAGATAAACCCAACATTAAATTATATACTGTATTGCTGTAAACCAACCTATATCTTATACATTTAATATAACACTATGTATTATTCTACACACCCTAATGTGTATCGAAATGGTTTATTACGTCCTTCCAATGATTGCTGAGCCAGAATCCATCTTCTCGGTTAAAATTGTCTCTGTGTTTGTATATGTGGATCGCCTCATGAACGAATCTCTCATGATAGCCAGATGGCTTGCAGAGAACCTCTGTCTTGGAGAAGTCGATATCATGTGAGCCCACTGAGTTGTAACAGTGATCTGCCACGGCTGAGGTGTTTGTCCTACCGTGTTTCAGGTCAGCTTTATGTTCACGGATGCGGTCCGAGACATGTCGTTTGGTTTCCCCAATGTAACTGCTACCACAGAGGCAACTTAGTTTGTAGACGCCAGGGTACTGTATGTCTGGAACCACATCTTTTACAGACGGTACCAGATCACGGATTTTATGTACTGTGTTGAATCGGACCTGGATCTTGTGTTTAATTAGGATTTTGGAGATCTTTTTTGTGACCCCAGCAATGTAGGGTAAGGTGATGGTCTTGAAAGGCTCCTCAACAGGATCCTTCTTGATGGTTGGAGTGATGGCTTTGCGGATTGTATAGTCGGAGTAACCATTTGCCTTAAGAGCTTGGCGTACGTGTTTAAGTTCACTGGAAATGTGTTCATGGTCGGAGATGCATTGGGCTCTATGATATAGAGTCTTGATGAGGGAATTCTTCTGGGATGGATGGTGGTGGGAATCCGGTTTTAGATAAGCATCCGTGTGGGTGGCTTTCCTGTAGACAGAGTGGCTCATTGAACCATCAGGTCTCCTTTTGATTAGGACATCCAAAAAGGGTAGCTTGCCATCATTTTCGACTTCCATGGTGAATCTGATGGCTGGGTGTATGGAATTGATGTGGTCGAGAAATTGGTCTAGAGCAGGCCGGCCATGTGGCCAGATGACAAAAGTGTCGTCTACGTACCTCTTCCATAAGGTCGGGCGTAGAGTGGCAGTCTGGATAGCGTCCGTCTCAAATTTCTCCATGAAGATGTTGGCTACAACCGGAGATAGGGGGGAGCCCATTGGGGTGCCCTCAATTTGCTTGTAGAAGGTTCCATTCCAGGTGAAGTATGTATTGGTTAAGCAGTGTTTCACCAGGGGGGGTACCCCAGCATTCAGTCCTTGATGAACCAAGTCTTCAATGATTGCGATGGTGTCAGGCACAGGTACCTTGGTGAACAAGGAAACCACATCAAAACTGACAAGCAGGTCGTCTGGGGACAGGGCAATCCCCTTGATTGTCGATACCAGGTCAGTAGAGTTTAGTACTGCAGAGGTGGTTTTTCCAGTGAAAGGCCGTAGGATTTCGGACAAAAAACGAGCCAGTTTGTAAGTGGGGGAGTTGATAGTAGAGACAATGGGACGAAGAGGTGTATCTTCTTTATGTATCTTTGGCAAGCCGTACAATCTTGGTGGTCTGGCTGCAGAAGGTTTCAACGAGAACTGTTTGGTCTGATCAATTAATGCGGTTGAAGCAGAAATGATGTTGTTGGTTTTGGAGACGAGGCTGTTGGTGGGGTCTCTTTTTATTTTTGTATAGCTGCCATCGTTTAATAGTTCTTGAATTTTGTTGTTGTATTCTATTTTGTCCATGATGACAGTGGCATTGCCTTTGTCGGCTGAGAGGATGACAATGTCATCCCTCTTTTTCATCCTCTCAGCCGACAAAGGCAATGCCACTGTCATCATGGACAAAATAGAATACAACAACAAAATTCAAGAACTATTAAACGATGGCAGCTATACAAAAATAAAAAGAGACCCCACCAACAGCCTCGTCTCCAAAACCAACAACATCATTTCTGCTTCAACCGCATTAATTGATCAGACCAAACAGTTCTCGTTGAAACCTTCTGCAGCCAGACCACCAAGATTGTACGGCTTGCCAAAGATACATAAAGAAGATACACCTCTTCGTCCCATTGTCTCTACTATCAACTCCCCCACTTACAAACTGGCTCGTTTTTTGTCCGAAATCCTACGGCCTTTCACTGGAAAAAACCACCTCTGCAGTACTAAACTCTACTGACCTGGTATCGACAATCAAGGGGATTGCCCTGTCCCCAGACGACCTGCTTGTCAGTTTTGATGTGGTTTCCTTGTTCACCAAGGTACCTGTGCCTGACACCATCGCAATCATTGAAGACTTGGTTCATCAAGGACTGAATGCTGGGGTACCCCCCCTGGTGAAACACTGCTTAACCAATACATACTTCACCTGGAATGGAACCTTCTACAAGCAAATTGAGGGCACCCCAATGGGCTCCCCCCTATCTCCGGTTGTAGCCAACATCTTCATGGAGAAATTTGAGACGGACGCTATCCAGACTGCCACTCTACGCCCGACCTTATGGAAGAGGTACGTAGACGACACTTTTGTCATCTGGCCACATGGCCGGCCTGCTCTAGACCAATTTCTCGACCACATCAATTCCATACACCCAGCCATCAGATTCACCATGGAAGTCGAAAATGATGGCAAGCTACCCTTTTTGGATGTCCTAATCAAAAGGAGACCTGATGGTTCAATGAGCCACTCTGTCTACAGGAAAGCCACCCACACGGATGCTTATCTAAAACCGGATTCCCACCACCATCCATCCCAGAAGAATTCCCTCATCAAGACTCTATATCATAGAGCCCAATGCATCTCCGACCATGAACACATTTCCAGTGAACTTAAACACGTACGCCAAGCTCTTAAGGCAAATGGTTACTCCGACTATACAATCCGCAAAGCCATCACTCCAACCATCAAGAAGGATCCTGTTGAGGAGCCTTTCAAGACCATCACCTTACCCTACATTGCTGGGGTCACAAAAAAGATCTCCAAAATCCTGATTAAACACAAGATCCAGGTCCGATTCAACACAGTACATAAAATCCGTGATCTGGTACCGTCTGTAAAAGATGTGGTTCCAGACATACAGTACCCTGGCGTCTACAAACTAAGTTGCCTCTGTGGTAGCAGTTACATTGGGGAAACCAAACGACATGTCTCGGACCGCATCCGTGAACATAAAGCTGACCTGAAACACGGTAGGACAAACACCTCAGCCGTGGCAGATCACTGTTACAACTCAGTGGGCTCACATGATATCGACTTCTCCAAGACAGAGGTTCTCTGCAAGCCATCTGGCTATCATGAGAGATTCGTTCATGAGGCGATCCACATATACAAACACAGAGACAATTTTAACCGAGAAGATGGATTCTGGCTCAGCAATCATTGGAAGGACGTAATAAACCATTTCGATACACATTAGGGTGTGTAGAATAATACATAGTGTTATATTAAATGTATAAGATATAGGTTGGTTTACAGCAATACAGTATATAATTTAATGTTGGGTTTATCTATGGCAGTATATAGTACGGTATATGCTCGTGTGATATAAGAGAATAAGGTTTAGATGGAAGCATATTATAGAATTTTTACGAGGTAGAATTGTAATGTATTACTTGCTGTTAGTAACTCAGCTTATTATAGAGTATAGTAAGTATACTGATGGTGCGATGCAGTTTATACTTTAGTTTTTTATGTAGTTTATACTTTAGTTTTCTACGTGGTTGTTGAGTAACTGCAGCTACATATCATTAACATTCCTTTCCTTTGTTACTGCTAATCCCTGCACCCCCCTTGGTTGCTGCTGATCCTGCATAATGCATGGGCATAATATGACTTTGACACCCCCCCGCCCAACGCCTACGCATTTTCCATGAATATGCTAAATTCCTCTTCACATGCACATTCTTTTTGTTAAGGCGCTCTTCAACCCCCAATGCAGCTTATATATAAGCTCCTAGTTTGGTAGTGTCTCATTCTTCACCTGAAGACGGCTGCTTGCGTTGTAGCCGAAACGTCGTGAGAATTGTTTTATTATGTTTTATTTTTATTATTTTATTACTTCCCTTCTACGTGACTTTACCGAAAGAAACAAGAAGATGAATCCCTGCAGTCACGAAAGCTTTAAATCGAAATTTACCAGAGTTATCCTAGGTAGGTTAGCATGTCAGCAGGTCCAATGTGAACATGCAGTAGTGGGGCTACTTTAGCAACAAACATCCCCCCGTGTAGCCTTAATAGTCTGTTGGGGCAACTGCTGTTAGCGAGCAGCACCTATGAAGGCCGGCAGGGCACACGACGGGTTGAGTGGCCAACACCACGCCCGGCCGCCTTTGTCTCTCCAGTGGCGATGTCTACACACCGCAACAGGTACCCATTTTGAGACTAAGTCGACCTAGGGGAGGCTCAGGACCGGTTCAGATAATTGTCACTTGTATTGGTGGCTGTGGGTGGGAATTGAACTTGGGTTACTGGGTTCGTAGAATAAGCAGAGTAATCGTGACCTTTGTGGTACAGACAGATGGACAGAGCGAATACATAAACACTTTTAACTTTGGTTTTGAAACGTTAAACACACAACCATTTCCTCTCCGTACTCCCCTCGACCCACCTCGGCTAACCAAGCAGATTCTTTCATTACTCGTGTGACAAGAACAATTCAAACAAATAAACATGGATCGTGTTTCAAGATAATATTTTAAAAAACCTGTTTTACCTTGGCAAACCAGCCAAGACAATGAGCCAGAACGAAGCAGTCAAATTTATCCTGAAAAAGAGCAGCAAACACACACACAGACACATGCGGTTTTTACTAAATGACAGTTGACTTGTGAGGACATGGAAAGGGGTGGAGACGGTCCGGAGTATGTGGTGGTGGTGGTGTCGAGGTTTTTTTTTGCGAGCATATAACGTGGGGGCAAAAGACGCAGGCATCAATAACTGGGTGGGGTCTCCCCTTGGCTGCCTGTGCCGCTGCCAAAACTGGCTCTCGGAACCATGGGGGGCATCGACAACGCACTGAAACCCCACAGGCTCAACACAAACATCCACAGCACAAAGAGGGGCACGGATTCCCGTGGAGACCCATTGAGAAACTGGAGATGTTAACTACCTCGCCTGGTATGCAGGAGGTCGTGGGTTCGATCCCGAACTTGACGCCAGCTGAATATTTGGAGTATGCATGTTCTTCCCATGGTCACGTGGATTTTCCCCAGGTTCTCCGGTTTTTCCCTCCACATTTAGAAAGATGCGTTTAAGAGTATTTGGCTGCAATAAATATCCACGCGATAAGCCACTTAGTTGAGCTATCATCGCTTCTGAAAAAGAGCTATAACAGCTCAGTGGGCCTTACCTGGTAAAATATGAATAGTTTAGATTAGTTGTATTACCACTGAATTCTAAGAATCCTAAAAGCCTTGATGGGGGAGCATTGGCATTGTTGGGGGGGGGGGGCATCCGGAGGGGGGAGGCATTTATGGGGAATCATGAATCATTGCATTGGGGGTTATTGCTGAGAGGATGGATGGGGGGGGGCAGCATTGAGGGGGGGGGGCGGGGCGGTGGTAGGGGAAGTACCCAGACGTTGTGGAAGGGGTTTCCGGGGCGGCCGTGGTCGTATATGAGGCAGTTCCCTCCGTAGTCCCTCTCGGGCAGCGGGACGCCCAGGCTGGGGTCAATGAACTTCATGAATTGACGGCCGTCGTCCGCCGTCTGTTGAGCATAGGAGAAATCCATTCACACGCACGCTCGCGCGCTTACGTGGAGGGGTTGCAACAATTGCAAAACAACCGGATGAGATCCGTCATCGTCAACACTGATTTTGAATAGGCATGAACAAATGCGACGCGTGTGAACGGCCCCTTTGGTTAATCCACTGCTAGGCGAGGGCCTTGCCGCACGTCGCGTGGCAGCGTGAGGTGTGATCTGACCACATTTCACTGATTTCGATTTAAAGCTTTCGTGACTGCATGGATTCATATTCTTGGTTCTTTTGGTAAAGTCACGTAGAAGGGAAATGATAAAATAATACAAATAAAACATAAGACGCTGTCTTTCCGACAGCCCTGTTCTTCACCTGAGGACGGCTGCTTGCATTGTAGCCGAAATGTCGTGAGAATTTTATCCTATTATGTTTAAATTTTATTATTTTATTATTTCCCTTCTACGTGACTTTACCGAAAGAACCAATAATATACATTTCACTGCTCAGCTCATACGAGCAAAAACCACGGGAAAATATATCGCCGGACTTTGTCAGATCTCAGAAGCCGGGTTGGCACTTACTGCTTGGATGGGAAAGTGCCCGGCATTACCCAGTATTGTAGAGTTACCAATCAGTTGCCAGTAATTCAAGCCGTAACACCCGCGCCTGTCCCGTGATCCCTGTCAGTGAGCCTTCCACACTTCACAAGATAGCCTCAAAGTGCATCTAGCCTGGGCACGAGTGGGTGTGGTGGCGTCAGGGCCACTTAGTGGCGAATGGCGGCTGTGTCTTTGTGTACACCTATGTGTCCATGTGTATATTTCTAAGTTGGTGTGTATGTACCAGCGTATATTTGTCTTTGTATGCATGTACCCAAGCGTATGCATCTGTGTGTCTCTGTACAAATGTGTTTGCGTACTCATGTGTATGTGTGTGTCTTTGTCATCTCAGTCAGTCAACCCATGGCACCTGTGTCTGTCCCGTGACCTCCTGCCAGTGGGTGTTTGATACTTCACGTGACCTAAAGTGCACATAGCCTGGCACAAGCGCCGTGGTGACGACACCGCCACTTCGTGGTGAATGGCAGTTGTTGTTGTCTTTGTATAGCCGTAGTGCAGTGGTTAGTGCACCGCACTACGAACCTGACGAACCAAGATCGATTCCCACTCAGGGCCAACATCAGTGACGATTATCTGAATCGGTCCTGGGCCTCCCTTAGGTCGACTCAGCCTCAAATGAGTACCTGGTGCGGTGTGTAACCATCGCCACTGGGGAGAAAAAGGTGGCCGGGTGTGGTGCTGGCCATCCATCCCTTCGTGTGCTGTTCCATCCATCATAGGTGCTCGCTAACAGCACTTCCCCCAAAAGTCTGTTGAGGCTATACTCGGGGGATCTTGGTGTTTTTGTTTTGCGTGTGTTGGCATCACCTGAAAGAGGATGAAGATGAGCCCCAGTTCGTAGAGCACGCTCGCGCAGAGCCAAAAGCGCCAGTACGCTGCACGGGTCCAAGCAGAGTAGGCGTCACGTTACAGGCAGCGTTTATCAATGCACAAAGTATGTACGTTGAACTTCTTTCGCACAGTGCGTAGCCAACCGTGCCATAACAGACTTTCGGGGAAAGTTCTGTTAGCGAGCACCTACGATGGTCGGAACGGCACACGAGGGGGGGTGGGCGGCCAGAACCACGCCCCGCCTCCTTTGTCTTCCGACTCGTGATGTTTACACACCGCACCAGCTACTCATTTGAGGCTGAGTCGACCTATCGGAGGCCCAGGATCGGTTTAGATAATCGTCACCGGTGTTGGCCGTGTGCGGGAATCAAACTCAAGTTGCCGGATTCGTAGTGCAGCGCACTCACTGCTAAACTGCCGCTCCCCACTCACAGATGTAACTCAAAGCCGCACGCACAAACACACGCAGATTAATTCTGCACCAGCTCAACAAGAGCTGAAAGTTGCCTTTTATTTAAATGGACAAGCAGGAAAACAAATACAATGGCTTGTGCTCGTGCCAAGTCACACTCAATCTGCCAAACTCATCTATTTATCCGAATCATATTCGTGATCTAGTCATAGCACTTTGCCAATATACTTACATATATGTGTGCGCTTGTGTAAGTGTGTGCGCTTGTGTAAGTGTGTGCGCGTGTGTGCGTGCGTGCGTCCGCGTGTGTGTCAGGGCTCACCCGGGTGTGGCCGCGTGAAGGGCCCATCCTTCGCCTGCGTCACACCGAAGCAGAGAAACACCAGGAGGCTGGCGATAAAGCCTCTGCGGGATTCATTCACAGTCATCATCATTACCATCATTATTATTACTGCTACCACCGCTATTCATGTGAGCACTCACACCATCGTTATTATGCATAATACATGACCATTTATAGGCATCTTTTGATCATGAATAATTAAAGTTAATAACACGGATTTGTGGCATGTGTACGAACTCTATGGATTTTCTCTTTGCGTGTTTGTACAGATCCCTAGGGGTGTAACGAGGCATCGGTTCACGTAGATTTATGTCGATTTTAAAGCTCACAGTGTACGTGTGTGGACCCTTTGTCAATCCACTGCTGGCTGACGGCCTCCATGGTGCCGTGCGGGTCGGGAAAGTCGTCTGACCATAATTCACCCCACCGGTGAGTGCAGCTTGGTGAAGTGGGAGGGAGGGAGAGGTACCAGGACCAGTCCAGATATCATTCGGGACCATTCCAGATATCATTCACGACTGGTGGTTCGCCATAGCCGGGAATCAAACTCAGAAAGCCAAGTTCAACTGTCACAACTCCACTCGCAGACAGGCCCAGCGGGACAAGAATTGAAACCTGCTCATGCGGCTAGGACGCTGTGTATGCGAAATGTCAAATAATATCATCATTTCACAAGTGAAACTAATTCTCCAGCTTCTAACTGGACACCCAGTCGCAATCTGCTCGCCATCGCTTGACTACGCGAGAGGCACACTTGCATTAAAAGACACAAAGATTCCCCACAGCCTTAACAGACTGTTGGGGCAAGTAACGCTAGCGTGCACCTATGAAGGCCGGCACGGTGCACGAGAGGGTGGGTGTCCAACACCTTGCCCGCCCGCCCGCCTTCATCTCCCGAGTGCCGACGCACAAACACCAAACCACGTACTCATACTCTTCGGTTTTTCGGTAAAGTCACGTAGGTAAAAAATAAATAATAAAGATTATAGAAATAATAACAGAATTGAAATAATTATTTTTATTTCTATTATTATTCTCTAAGAGTATGAATCCTTTCAGTCACGAAAGCTTCAAATCTAGAACCAAACCATGTACTCGTTTATGGCCGAGTCAACTTAGGGGAGACCTAGGACCGGTTCCGATGTGTGCCACTGTTATTGGCCAAGAGCGTGATTAGAACTTCTGCCGGCGGGTTTGTAGCGAGGCGCGCTAACCACTCCGCCACCGCTCCCCCTTCCGCATCAACACACGTGCGTGCAGCCATAGCATTCACGCTGGCACGAGAACATTTGCCCAATTCATGAGATTATTCTGCCCAATTCCCTGCAATTTATCCCACGCTGAAAGCTCCTTTCAGAAACCCCTGCTAAATGCCCACCCGTGGATAATTTGAGAGACTATTGCAGCCTCCCACGTGTGTAAGGCGTCGCGATGGGGGAAGGGATCGAGAGCTCAGCGCAAGGGCCTGTACGTGCGCGCACGCTTTCGTTGACCTTTGCCCACTACTCATTTTCCTTGCGCCGATTTTGGAGGCCTCCGTGCGGCGTCAATAAATAACCCCGCGGAGTTATAAAACGCTCGCCGTTAATTGTAAACGTTATACGGGCGCTCAAAACCCGCTACCTAGAGGTCTTGCCGACAACTCGCCCCCCCTCGTTAAAAACCGGGCAAGGGGTTTGGCTCGGCCGTGCCGTGGTATGCAGTGAGCTCAGCCGGTTCATACTCCGTCAAGCAATCAATCAGAGTGTGTTGGTCGCATACACGTGGAGTCGTTTGAGGATTGGCAGAGAGGTTAAGTTTTGCTCGACGGCACCGAAATCATTTACGTCACGTCCTGGTGTGCGATTGGCTATGTATGCTGTGTGGATATCGTGGCTGTGTGTGTTTATCTATGGTTTGTTGTTGTTTATGGTACACGGTTGGGCACAGCATGTGGTTGGATATGGGATGATGTTGTCAATGGATAATTGTGTACTGTGTGTGTTGTCCATGGCCTGTGTGGTGGTGTGTGGCTGTGTGTAGTTAACCATGTTGTGTGAAAGTAGAGTGAAGTGTGCGGTTGTGTGGTGTGTAGTTTGGTTTGAAGTTGCCTGCCTCTATAGGTGTATGTGTGCTTGTGTGTGGTTGTCTGTAGAGTGTCGTGTGTGGTTGTTAGTGGTGCATTGCCATCTGTAGAGTGTAGTGTGTGATTGTACAAGGATGTGCGTACTGATGTGTGGTTGTATGTGTGTGTGGTTGTGTGGTTGAGTACAGTTATGTGGTTGTGCATTGCGGTGACGCAGTGCAATGGTGCGGTGTGGTGGTGTGCTGGTGCGGTGCGATGGTGCGGTGCAGCGTGGTGGTGCGGTGTGGTGGTACGATGCGGTGGTGCGGTGCGGTGGTCTGGTGGTGCAGTGTGGTGGTGCAGTGCGGTAGTGCGGTGGTGCAGCGTGGTGGTGCAGCGTGGTGGTGCGGTGTGGTGGTGCGGTGTGGTGGTGCGGTGCAGTAGTGCAGTGCGGTGGTGCAGCGTGGTAGTGTGGTGCGATGGTGCGGTGCGGTAGTGCGGTGCGATGGTGCAGCGTGGTGGTGCAGCGTGGTGGTGCAGCGTGGTGGTGCGGTGCGGCTGCCGTGCGCGCACCTCTTCTGGTTGTACGCCGAGTCCGTGGGCGTCTCCTCGACGAGGGTGACGTGCACGAGGACGCAGATGAGGACGAAGAGGACGGTGATCGTGTGCGCACGCCTGCACCACCACATCGCCACGTCACATCGTCCGTTCACTCACATCGTCGCATCTCCCACATTGCCCACGGTGTCCCGGTACTAACCCCCCCACCCTCCCGTGTGCGATGGGTTTTCTGCATGCATCTGCGGTTGCTTTCCACATTGAGCCAAAGCACTCATCCAAAGAACTGGCCAAACATCCCAATGCAAGACCCTCTTGAGAAAAGAGTCATAATGTGAAGATTCTCCTGGGTAATCAAGGTGCCCAAAACTTTGAGATGCCAAACGGAGCAAACACGTAAACCCTTTGTGCGCTGGCAGCAACCCATGGGAAATACGCAACATCTCATGTCATCTTTGCATATTCAAATAAACACTTCTGAAAACAAATACATCGTGGGAAGCGTTACATAACCCATACATGCGCGTGAATTTCTCTCATGTGCAACTTTTAAAATTAAGTCAATGTTCCCGCACACCACCCTCCCCCCATGTCCACAGGGATGTATTTTTGCGGTGAGGATGGAACCGAGGTCTGTCCCCTCCCACCCCCACCGTGGCGTCACAATTAAACAGGGGGCACAGAACAACAACATGCCTTGTAAGCTCTATTACAGTCAACACACACCCATGATGACAAGCGAGCCTCCGGCAACGACCGGATTGACTGTACCGCGAGCGCCGGGCAACGACTCATTAAAGGGAGGCCCCCCCCCCGCCCCCCAGGGGCTGGCTTGGGCACGCCAGCGGCGCGCACAGCGAACGCGGTACGAGATGTGACAAATGGTGACTCGGATTAAGATTCATAGTCTCGGTGACAAAGAGAAGTTGGGGCGTGCTGGGTCTGCTGGTGGTTGACCGCACCGCGCTACGAGCCCGGAGGCCCCGAGTTCGATTCCTGCTCACGACCAATAAATAATCGGTGACGAATACTTGACCCGGTCCTAGGCCTCCCCTGGGTCGACTCGGCCTCAAATGTGTACAGTACCTAGTGCGATGTATAACAAAAACACATCAGTACTGGGGAGACAAAGGCGGCCGGTCGTGGTGCTGGGCAACTATCCCCTTGGTGTGTTGTGCCGGCCCTAATCGGTGCTTGGCAAAAGCGCCTGCCCCAACAGTCTGTTTAAGGCTATACGGTGCAACTCTGGCATGGGATCAGAGCTCATAACGAGGACTCGAAAATGACCGCGTGCCAAAATTGCGTTTGCAAATGAGTAAAGTGATGGCAGGGAATTTCAACTTGCCGCGAGCTACCCCGACACCGTGCCTCTGGCATGAAGGGTGATTTAAAATGACGCTGCCCAGCAACGGGGTTTTCTTTCCTTTCAACTTTACCCAATGATGACGATGCCTCCCTCTCAAACCCAGATCCTAGTCCCCCCTCCACTTCATATTCAACCAGCGCAGATCAGCACGGAGAGATATGGTCAAACAAACTACCATCGTGACCTACAGGCCTTCACGCAGCAGTGGATAAACTTAACGGCTGGAATTTATAACTATTTTTTAAAATCTATATTATAATTACAGATAGCTCCTTAATCTCGGTTTTATGCCGCTCCTCCTCACAGCGCATTCCCGATGACAATTCTTTTCACCAAGAGCGAACGGCGAGCTCATCGCAAGTAACCGTAAATATTCGGAAGTAAATCTTTCGGCTGTGCATAACCTAAGTACGTGGCATTGACACTGACCACACACAGACCACCGCTCACGTACTTACAGTTTTGTTTTTTGAATCTCTTAAACATTTGAAATGCCAAACATTTGAAATCATTAATCACGAAAATGTTTGGGTTTAGTGATTAATGATTCCCGCCCAGTGTATCTGTTTAATCTGTAAGCTCAAAATCGCCATGAGATGTCTGACAGGACACAATAATTATAACCCGCAGCGACTGTGCAACACGGCTCTTTCAAAACTGTGAAATATTTCAAACGCAGCGGGCGACAGTGTCATCACAGGCTCGAAGCGTAATTAAACGCACCCATGTGTTGCAATTAGATATAATACAACGCCACTGACCAAATCACCTGCGATGCTCCCTCTCAGTCATGGTCTATCCACTGCTGGATGAAAGCCTCCCCCACACTATCGCCCATTTCCCACAATCCTCCACCTCACTCCGGCGCACGGGCTGATTTCGTTGCTCCATCTCCGGCGCGTTCCCTCCTCTGACTGCCATTCCTTAACCGGTTTCGTCCCATCGACCATCTCCCCCTCTTGCCATAATGTGTCCGGCCAAAACCCACTTAACTCTCCTTGACGTATTGTCTCTAATTTTGCATATTGCTCCCCCGATCCAAGTGCTCCCTCTCGCTGTCCCTCGGTGTAATTCGTTGTTTGTGTTATTGTTGGAGTAACTTTCTGACCCGTCCCTGCCGGACATCTGTGAAAAAAGCGCTTCATACGTCACCGGGTTCCTCTTCCAGTCTCAATAAATATCCTCATGCAAGATTCTGAATTCTGAGCATGCATCTCTCCGTGCCTCTTTGAGGCGCTTTTTATATTCCATTACATATTCTTGGTCAGCCTAAGAAGCTCCACAAAGAGAAGCAAGGAGAATCGCATACAGTACACAATGATGGCAGAGAGCCACATAAACACCAGGCATGACACAACGTTAAATACCGTAGCTAGTCGCCGCAATGTATGAGCCCTCCTATGTTGCCGAACAGCCAATACGCGGGCAGACAGACCTGTGTACAAGTTTTCATGCGGGCAGGAGAAGCATTGGTGCGGTCATGAACCTGGTGACCAGAGTTCGATTCCCGGTCACAGCTAACATCGGTGGTTGAGTGACAGCTGAATGGACACTGACCGGCGTGGTGAAGTATGGCCAAAAAGCCTCTGTCATTCAAAGCATGGGGGAGGCCTTCATCCAACATTGGTCTACGGGCTGGGCAGCATTACGAGCAATAGCTTGGCTGAGCAAAGCATAGAGAGACATTGTTAGTCACCCCGCTGGCAGGAGCTAAATATAGACTGCCCTGTGCCAGTAAAGAAAAACTCTACTGGGACGAGACTAGTGTCAAAGCACTGATTGTGCAGTGTGGATGTCAAGTTTCCAAAATGCGCTTGGTTCGTACATGTATAAAAATAATTGTAAAAAAATACTGCGCTCTTGTACGGAATGCCGATGTGTTGTCAGAGATGTGGATTGACACGAAGGGCTGTTAAATTATCATACTTTATACGTGCGACATATTAATGCAATGAGCGAGCATGTACGCATGCCTTTTATTGTTTAAATGAAAAAGGGGGCGGCCGTAATGTTAAATATTTACGGGATGAGCTTCGGGAGCCAACAATACAAATCGCCATTCGGCAAACCGATGCAAGAATTGGCATCTTCTCGGCCACGTAATCTCTCGAGACTCGTGGGAAGACTGAGGAAGAACCACTTAACTGGTGCCTCGTTTTCCTAAGTTTGAACCGTAACCAAGAAGACCTGACAGATTTGCTCCAGGCATGCCATCAAAGCTATACGTGAAGAACAAGTTTTGCTGGCTGGCCGGCTGCTGTGAAAATGATGCCGAGAGTGCTTCTCACGAGCGAAGGTGTGGGTCTGATGACAATTTTGCCCTCGGGTGTTGAATTCATCGATGACGCTCGGCTGCTAAACGCGCCCTGCCGCTGCTGCTGCTACCACCACTCCTATTCCCAAGGCGTTGTTCACCTATGCTGGTGACGCGTTTCAAAACATCATTACCATCCAAGCGATCGCACACACACACGTAGCTATGTAACTTGAACATACGTAACACTTTATGTAACTGGCAGGGCGGGAATACGGCTCGGTGCGCGGGGCGTAGTAAGATTTGAGCAATTGTGAGCTGGAAAACCCATTCAGATCATTTGAATGCCAACAGATAACTATACCGCACCTGCGATTTGCACGGTTGGCTACGTGCTGTGCGAAAGAAGTTCAACACACAAACATGCACAGGTTTTTCGCGGTTGTGCTGTACAGTGTCTCCTGTGCGGCACAACACACATCAGACAGCTGTGATGTTAGTCGTCGTCATCAGCAATTAGGGGTGCAATAATGCCTCGATTAATGTAGATTAATTCTTAAGCTTATGATGAACGCACAAAATTGCGTTGAGAATATTGTGAGAATATTTTTGAAATCCGTGTACGTTGAATGAAATGGGATCACGCAATTCCTGCAAGACGCTAATGGTCGCTACATTAACAACAATAAAGCAAAGAGTACACTTGAATTAAATCGTGACCTTGGATTACGATAATTAATGGAACTGCCAAAGGGGAGGTGGGGGCGGGGTGGATCTCATTGTTATACACTTAATAGCAGTCACGAACAGAAAAAAAAACTGCATCATCATCATTACCAACATTATCATCAAAACCTTCATTATCCCACCATGGTCAGTAAAATGGGTGTTCGTGCAGTGCACTGTGAAAACGATGACCCGCAGTTAAACTCACAGCAACAACAGCAGCAGCGGCGAGTGAGGTCTGAGCCAGTCCTGGGCACCCCTGACTAAAGAATTATTTTTAGAGCGCCGTGATGGTGAGATGTTAACTACCTCGCCTGGTATGAAGGAGGTAGTGGGTTCGATCCCGACCCTGAAGTCTGTATATTTTGAGTTTGCGTGTCTCTCTCCCCGTGGTCGCGTGGATTTTTCTACGGGTCCTCTGGTTTTTCCCTCCACATTTATAAACGTGTGTTTAGAGCATTTGGCGGCTATACATTTCCACGTGATAAGCCACTTAGTTGAGCTATGATTTGTGGCTAGATCGCCTCTGAAAAAGAGCTACATAGCTCAGTGGGCCTTACCTGGTAAAATAAAAAGTTTAGTTTTTTTTTAAGAACGGTCCAACAGCACCAATGACTGAAAGGCATGGGAGGACCTTCATCCAGTCGTGGGTTGATGAAGGGCAGTAACATTTAATGCACTGTATACGTGTGTTCCCACCAGCCTTCAAACGGCTAAACTTTTTAAGACAAGAACCGCAAACAATGCTGGTATGCGTGTGTGGGTGTCTTCGCATATATAGATGCACTGAAAGCCAGCGACAACCCACGAGAAACGGAGAGCTCTCATCTTGTACAATCATACGGCGTGAATTTTAAACTCCACAAAGAACGTGTAAGCGGAGAGAGAGAACACAGCTTGGCGACCACCACCTCACTGCCATCTGCGAGTTGCAATGCAACAGAGATGGAGCAATTACCAGACAGTGCGTGTAAGGGTGCTGCGCATTCAGGCGAAGGCAGAGCGAGAGAGTGGGGATTTCATGCCATTCATCATCCGTCCGTTGGTGGTAAACGGAGGGCAACTGTAGATATGACGACGGTAGCTAGGCTCTATTATTTTATTCTTAAGCGGTAAAACCGGCTGTTGTCCATTAATTTTTTTGACTTTAGCACTGGGAGAAGACGCCGGGACCAGCCCAGGGACATGCTGGTGGGATTTTGTCGCTCGGCTGGCCTGGGAATGCCTGAGAATTCCCCAGGAAGAGCAAGAGTCCGTTGCCAGGGAAAGGGAGGGCCTGCACCGCCCTACTCAACATGCTCCCGTCGGGACCCTGGCCAGGTTAAGCGGATTGAGAAACGGAGGAAACGAACAAATGAACGAACTTAAGCACCCCCCGTTTCTTTTTCTTTAGTATAGACAAAGAAAAACAAATGCAGGGGCAGTCCCTCGACAAATGTTCTTCTCAAAAGGATCACAAAAATCCAATCAAGGACATTGCACAGTGGAGCATTATTCGCAACACGTCATCCACCAACTCCATAGTGGCTGCAGGCCTGGAACACGATGCATCGCTTCACTGCTTCACATCTACTCTTACCCTTGTGATGTAACCAGCGATCCGTGCGTGTAAGCGTCGGTGTTTTTTAAAATCGTGGTACTGTATGCTGCATGCATCGGTTTTCACGCCACCCGTGAAGCCACTGGAGACATTGACATCCACCACAATGCATTAAAAATCGTACATAAAACAAAATTCTGTTCAAGACGTAGGCTTTAGCGACCAATATCATCTATAATGCAGGTTCGTTACGAGTACAGCACACCGGTGTGTTGGAGAACAAAGTTAGACTTTAAATGTTGTGGAGTTGCTCTCCAACACACGGGTGTGCTGTACGAGTAACGAATTGGCACGTTCCGTTTACGTGACAAACCTTACTAATTGGCTGTGTCAGGTAGTGGCGGGTTTAACGACACATTTATATTCATGCAAACTAACAAAAAAAAGACCTGTCTTATGGATGAAACAAAATTCCACGTGTGGAAAACATCGTGAACCTGAATGGTGACAATTCATAAAATTTCCAAGCGGTTAATGGTTTATCTTCTACGAAACAGGACATGAAAACTATATATTTTTTATTTTACCAGGTAAGGCCTACTAAGCTATATAGGTCTTTTCATAAAGCGACCTGGGTACAAATGATAGCCCAACGAAGTGGCTCACCATGTGGAAATGTGTTATCAGCCAAATATTCGAAAAGGCACGTTTATAAATGTTGAGAGAAAAACCGGAGGACCTGGAGAAAAATCCACGCGACCACGGGGAGAGAGACACGCAAACTCCAAATATACAGCAAGCGTCAGGGTCGGGATTGATCCCACGACCTCCTGTATACCAGACGAGGTAGTCAACATCTTGCCATTGCAGCACCCCAATATAGTTTGCACCGTATCCCACCACCGGATTGCACAATTCATGACATAATATACTGCTGAGCGCCTGACTTACACAGGACACCACTGCACTGCACATAACACAGTTCCGTACACTCGTAATAAAGTCATTTATTTATTCATTCATTCACTCCTAAAAGTCACCGAGTCTCGCGCCTCGTTTTCAGGAGGGTGCTGCTGCTGCTGCGGAACGCGTGACCAATCCCATTCGCGAGTGGTTCGTATCCAGACAAAACCCACCATGCATACAAGGTGGGTGGGAGGGGGGGCAACACTCACAGCTCCGTAAAGGTGGATTCAATAATCCATTGCTGTGCCGCAGCACTCACCTACATCACAGGGTATTTCCAAGCTGGTGGTAGCGTCTAAGTGCTAACCGGACTCGACCCCGTGTTCAGATTCCGAGCCCCGATCAGATCAGGTTCATTCAGCGTGATCCGGTTGTAGGCGGTGTTGTAATGTACCGTTTGCTCATAGCTTACCACAAAGCAGTGTGCTGTGCTTGTTCTACGATGCTACACACATTAAACTGCATCACTGGCATTCCTACGTCAAAAAAAATGGAATGTGACCCCATTAGAATGCAATTAGGTTTTCAAAACCCTTTCTCAAACCCTAACCCTTCCCCAAGCCCTCCCCCCAAACGAATCTAATCACGAACAATACACTAATATGAAAGAATCCTGAAACCCAAGTAAAATTGTCCCAACAAAACAAAGACTTTAAAAATGATAACCCCTAAAGATGCAACGCCCACGAAAATATAGCCATGACCGTAGCCCTGCCCAATTGTTAGTCGTGTCTAGGAATCAATCTCAGGTTTCAAATCTGAACGCGCTAGCTGCACCATTATTACGGAATAATGCACAATAACTGCGGTACAACAAGGAAATGCATAACCGTGTCAAGTTAAACATTTTCATGCACAATTGTCATGTTTCTTCAACTCTTTTTGCACTGTACCCGACATATGGACAAAGGGGCCGTCCATAAATGACGTCACGCGATTTTGGACGATTTTTGACCCCCCCGCCTCGTCGCACGGCGTCACAAAAAGTCAGACCCCCCCTCAAATATGACGTCACAAAGCTCTGCCGCCCCCCAAAATATATAAAACATGCTTCAAATCGATTAAAACTATTGTCATTGTAGTGCGTATTTAATGTGGCGCTGCACTCTGATGTTGTAGGAGAAAACATTTATTAAAAAGTATATTTAATCAAGTAGAACGTGTTGTCTATATTTATTTAAAGTTACGCATTTTGATGTGAAGTCGCATTTCTCAAACCCCCCCCCCCTCGTCACACATCGTCCCAAATGTCTAACCCCCCCCCACCCCCCTAGGTGCGTGACGTCATTTATGGACGGCCCCAAAACTGTAATTGCCCAGCACGGAAAACCGGTGAGATGCAGAGAAGTCCTTTTGTGTCTCCACCTCGCAACAAAATCAAAAACAGCCACACGCGGTAGTCAACCGCCACTTCTCGCACACAACCAAGAGACATGTTTGCTGAAGGCCTTTTTAGGTGTCCTTTGTCAAAAAAGCAGAGGCAAGGTGTCAGGCCACAAAAGCCACTATTTGCTTAACAAGCCTGATTCTGCTGATGAGACCCTGAATATCCAAACCAGTGCCATAGTCCGATTGCTTTAACAAATGCTGCTGGATAATATTGTATTCTTGGTTCTATCGATAAAGTCACGTAAATCGAAAACAAAAAATTGTTAAGTCAAATAAAAAATAAAAGTAATAAACTAAAATAAAAATAATATTGGTCTGGAAAGACAATGTACTGATGGCTTTATGTTGTATTTATGTATTTGTATGTGGGGGACACAGAATAGAGTTTTACTAAGTGTATATGGTTTGTATCGACTACCAGAGATCGTTAATGGCACCACCATATCTCAGCATCACTTCTTTCCTCCTGCCAAATCCTTGCAGCAGCTGCTGCACAGTCGACACCAGCCTGCACAAGTCTGATCTGAAGAGTTTCATTAGCACCCACCACCTTTATTTAGGTCTAACCCTGGCATTCACCACACCGCCCACTCCACCTCCAATACAGCGACACGGATGTAGGGGATGGTGGATCATTAACAGATGAGAGCACTGCGAAAGATGGCCACAGACACCCAGATCTTCCTTGCAAAAGGTTATGTTTTGTGTGTCTCAATGGCAGATCTCATTCTCTGGTTAAATACGTATATTTCCTTGGGTGGCCTTGAGTCAGCGGTAAAATTCCATGGCCAGTTGGTATTAAAAGACCATTGTTGACTTCCCACAAATTGGTACAGGACTAGTTTTAACTGCCCCAGAGGTATGAAAGTCAAACGCAATTTTAGTTTCGTCACTCAACTGTGTACACAAACCACTCTGCCAGCCAACACAATCATATTCACATTCATATATACACAGGTGCCCTCTTTTCCCCTCTTAAATTTTGCGCGCGAACTCAACACGGATTGTGCTCTCAGCATAATTCGCAAGCCGAAACTAATTCGAATGACACTAATTCGAATGACCCAAACTCTCAGGGCTCACATTGCAAGCAGAACCACAGACAATGCGGGAAATGCAACCGGGCGGCGAGCCGACGCGCCATCTATTGCCAACCGAGCTCTGCGATCCTCTGCATATCGGGATGTTCTCAGCCAATGAAGAGGGCAGGGAAGCGTACAACAAGGCTCCCACTGCGAGTACTGCGGGGAGAGTTTCAGGGACTGTGCTCACCAGAAAAAGGTGTTGGACTCCTCGTCGAGGACACGGTCTTCCTCCGAGGGGAGTAGGGGTCGAGGGCTCTCGCTGACCCCAGGACTCTCGGACTCACAAGTGCTGCAGTCCCCTCCAGACACGTCACCGTGTTGCGAACATTCTACACCCTCCGCCATCACTCACGGCAATCTCCACGATGATGATGACGATGATGACGACGATCACCTGGATGATGACGACGTTGACGGATGGCTTTCTTACTTTTGTGTGCCACTGCAAGGTGGTGAATTATGGTGATGGATGATAACGAATTGCTAGCAGATGTCACCGATTGTCAATAATGATGACGATGGGAAGAAGCCTACTTACTGATGATGGTGCCCGCTGTTCAAACGTGATGATAGTATGATGATCTTACGAACATGTGTCAATGACAGATGATGATGATGTCGTCGTCGGTTGTCTGAAACAAGACGGACAAGTCCAAAAGACAGGGAAAGTTTACTGCATAGCACAGAATACTCGTTTACATGACCACTCACTGTAGCAACGTGTGCTGGCAACGAGTGTATATAGAACCTTAAAGTGGAATTTATAAGTCAACTATTCAAGGCAAAACCATTTAGGATTAGTGTAAAATAAAAAAGTCATTTATAGAGTCCTACACAGATTAACAAAGGCAGCCTTACACAGGGCACACCAGGGGGCTGGGGTGTGATCAGATCCCACCACACACTCACTCATTTATGGCTGAGTCAACCTACCGGAGGAACACACACATTCAGTATATACAGACGTTGTATACACACACAATGCACAGATATATCAGTCGGTTACAACCCTTACTAGGTGTAGCTAGTGGTGTGTACTGTAGTGTAACACGTGGTGTGTACTGTAGTGTAACACGTGGTGTGTACTGTAGGTGTAACACGTGGTGTGTACTGTAGGTGTAGCTAGTGGTGTGTACTGTAGGTGTAACACGTGGTGTGTACTGTAGGTGTAACACGTGGTGTGTACTGTAGGTGTGACACGTGGTGTGTACTGCAGGTGTAACACGTGGTGTGTACTGTAGTGTAACACGTGGTGTGTACTGTAGTTGTAACACGTGGTGTGTACTGTAGGTGTCTACAACATGTCCAGATAAACACACACACGGCACAGCACACAAAACCACAACACACTGAAAAGTACATTATAAATACTGCACTGAATACTCACACAATACGTACAGTATGCAGTACACACAACGCATTCTAAATAATTATAAATGCTGTCCACTATATTGACACACAAGCAATAGAACATGTTCTCGATACTGTACAGTAGCACACTATATAACACTTACATAAACACACAACACAGCCAGACACATGCCGTCACATTCCCCAACACGCACAGGGCTCATACACTCACAACACACCCTCACATACATACACATATATACAGCCACACTCACAACATACACACACCATACACTCACATGCACTCACAACACACACACATACACACTCACAACATACACACACCATACACTCACAATACATACACACTCACAACACATACACACTCACAACATACACACACCATACTTACATACACTCACAACCCACACATACACACAACACACACACAGCTACACAAGCACATGTGGAGAGAAGCATTGCGCTCATCACTACACTCACTCACAACACATCCACAACACACACACATAACACAAACAACACACTCACACAGCACACACACCATACATAATACACACACACCATACATAACACACAACACACCCCACACTCAACCCTCACAACACAACCACACACAACACATACACAACACTCACACACCATACACAACACACACCACACACAACATACACACACACCACACACACACCACACATACACAACATACACAGCACACACACCATACACACACCATACATAACACACAACTCACACACACACACACCATACACACACACCATACACAACACACACACATACAACAACGATCACCCGTCTAGCCTCAACAGATTGTTGGGCCAAGTGCAGCGAGCGAAGTTGCGCGCCTCTGAATGCCGGGCACGGCACACGGGGGAGGGGGGTGGGTGGCCAGCACCACGCCCGGCCGCCTTTGTCTCCCCCAGTTACAACACGACGACACATGCCATCATCATCATCATCGCCACACAGCTCAACAGCAGCGAGTAGAGGAGAGCTAGGAGGGTGAAAGAGAACTCCTTTGATAATCAACCAACACTCGCACACAACAACAACACACAACAACAACAACACACAACAACACCACACACAACAACAACAACACAATACCACACATACCTCTGGCGTCGACATCCACGTGTTAATCTTCTAATTATTGCTGCTGCTGTTGCTGTGTGTATGTTGAAGACTGCTGCTGTTGTTGTGTTCCCTTGCCCTGTGCGTATGCTGAAGACTGCTGCTTCTGCTGTGTGTGTGCTGAAGACTGCTGCTTCTGCTGTGTGTATGTTGAAGACTGCTTCTGCTGTTGTTGTGTTCCCTTGCCCTGTGTGTAAGTTGAAGACTGCTGCTGTTGCTGTGTGTATGCTGAAGACTGCTGCTTCTGCTGTCTGTATGTTGAAGACTGCTTCTGCTGTTGTTGTGTTCCCTTGCCCTGTGTGTAAGTTGAAGACTGCTGCTGCTGCTGTTGCTGTGTGTATGCTGAAGACTGCTGCTTCTGCTGTGTGTATGTTGAAGACTGCTTCTGCTGTTGTTGTGTTCCCTTGCCCTGTGTGTAAGTTGAAGACTACTGCTGCTGTTGCTGTGTGTATGCTGAAGACTGCTGCTGCTTCTGCTGCTTCTGCGTGAGGCTTGCACGCAGCAGCGACAAGTTGCGAGGAGTGGGGGGGGGGCCGCCTGCCTCTGGCCGAGCCGGTTTCTCAAACTCCGCTGCGCAGGAATGAGGCGCGCGGCTTCGTGCGTCAGCGTCATTCTCCCCCCCACCACCATCACCACCACTCCCTTACCCCCATCACTCTCACACCATCACCCCCCACCACCACCATCACCACCACTCCCACACCACCACCACCACTCCCACACCACCACCACCACTCCCACACCACCACCACACACACCACCACACACACCACCACCACCACTCCCCACTCCACCACCACCACCACTCCCACACCACCATCACCACCACTCCCACCCTCACCCCCACCACCCCACCACTCCCACACCACCACCACCACACACACCACCACCATCACTCCCACACCACCACCATTCACACACCACCACCACCACTCCCACACCACCACCACTCCCACCCTCACCCCCCACCACACCACCACCACCACTCCCACACCACCACCACCACACACACCACCACCATCACTCCCACACCACCACCACCACTCCCACACCCCACCACCACTCCCACACCACCACCACCACTCCCACACCACCACCACCACTCCCACACCACCACCACCACTCACACACCACCACCACCACTCACACACCACCACCACCACTCACACACCACCACCACCACTCCCACACCACCACCACCACTCTCACACCACCACCATCACCACCACTCCCACACCACCACCACCACTCACACACCACCACCACCATCACCACCACTCCCACACCACCACCACTCCCACACCACCACCATCACACCACTCCACACAACCACCACTCCCACACCACCACCACCACTCCCACACCACCACCACCACTCCCACACCACCACCATCACCACCACTCCCACACCACCACCACCACTCACACACCATCACCACCACTCCCACACCACCACCACCACTCCCACACCACCACCACCACTCCCACACCACCACCACCACTCCCACACCACCACCATCACCACCACTCCCACACCACCACCACCACTCACACACCACCACCATCACCACCACTCCCACACCACGACCACCACTCCCACACCACCACCACCACACCCACCACCACCCTCACCCTCAACACACCACCACCATCACCCCCATTATCACCCCATCACCCCCACTCCCACACCACCACCACACTCCCACCACCACACGACCTCCACCACACCCCCACCACACCACCACCATCACTCACACCATATCACCTCCACCATACCACCCCCACCACACCACCCCCACCATCACCCCCACCACACCCCCACTACACCACCATCACCACCCCCACACCACACTCCCACCATCACTCCCACCACACCCACACCCCCACCACCACCACCACACCACCACACACCACCCCCACCACACCACACCACCACACCACACCCCCACCACACCACCACCCCCACACCACACTCCCACCACACCACCACCACACCACCACACCCCCACCACACCCCCACCACAGCACCACCCCCCCCACCTCCTCAAGCCCCCCACCTCCTCAAGCCCCCCCCCCGACCTCCACAACCCCACCCCGACCTCCACAACCCCCACCCCCCTCTTAACAGCCCCCCCCCCCACAGCCCTTCCCTCCCTCCTCGGCCATAAGATGAATTTCGAGGGCTTCCTTTTAAACGCGCACGGCTTTGCCGACCAACATTACGATTCACAGTTCACTTTTCCAGCCAGAATTCTAGGGATTCCATTACATAATCGATTCTCCTGGGTGAAATATCGGATGCAGTTGCAGGTTATAAGCTCCCGGTGAGATTACGGAAGAGATGGATTGAGAGGGGTACGGGATGAGACGGGCGTTTAGTGAGATGAGCGAGACAGCCGTAGATGTGGATAAGAGACAGCCGTAGTTAAATGACTTAGTAGAGCTGCAGGTAAGGTAGGGAAGCGATTGTACTTTCGCTACGCTGTCCCCACCTGAAGAAGGACGCTTGTGTTGCGCCCGAAACGTCGTGATTTAATTGAGTTTTCATTTATTTTACTTTTTTACCTACGTGTCTTTACCGAAAAAAACAAAGAGCATTCGATTGCTATGTAAATATAGCAATGTTTAGTTGAATTTTAAATCATGTTGATGTTTTGTTTGCCCATACTTTTTAAATATATATAAATCCGGGGACTCTTGAGCTACTTGGGACTCTAGGGTTGCTGACGCCATGCGACACCTCTGTGCTACAAGTGTCTGCAGAAATCACGTGGATATCTGTAAACGCACATGGCTTCGTCAAAAATCCGCTTCCGCAATATTGTATGATTTCAATAGAAGAGCCAATGGCACCATTACATACGAGCCGATTGTATGAGTTTCCCAGACACTCAAAAATTCCATCAAATGACTCACTTCACCCACCCACCAACCCAACCGCTTCATCAACCACTCACACAATCATCCACCCATCCACTTCACAAACCACTCACATAATCTAATCAACTGCTTACCCAATCACTCACACATTCATAAACCACCCACCTAACCATGAACACAAACAATCCTAAGACCACTCACTCAACCACTCACCCAACCACTCACCCACTTCACCAACCGCTCACACAATCCAACCAACCGCTCACCCAACCACTCACCCAACCACTCACACATTCACGAGCCACCACCTAACCATAAATACTGCTAAAACTACCCACCCAGGCGGTCACCCAACCACTCACCCACTTCACAAAAGACTCACCCGACCACCCTGTCTCCTCGATCCCTGATCCGAAAACCACAAACTTGCACAAGTGCACGGGGGGTTGGGGGTGATGGCCGAAACTAATATAGCTATGAAACAGTTTCACAGATAAGTCAGATTCACGCAAATCCTACACACGCCGACAAGTAAGTCCATTGAGCGAGCCGCGCTATTTCTTACGGAATTCCACTGCACACTGATAACATAAACAATGTTTGTTATAACAGTTTTTTTTATATTTCCTGGACAATATCGCCCAAGAACTGTAGAGATGTGGGCACTTGTGTTGGTGGGCTGTATGTGAGTTTAGTACCTGTGTTGGTGAGCTGCGTGGTGAGTTTAGTACCTATGTTGGTGAGCTGTGTGGCGAGTTTAGTATCTGTGTTGGTGAGCTGTGAGTGAGTTTAGTATCTGTGTTGGTGAGCTGCATGGTGAGTTTAGTACCTATGTTGGTGAGCTGAGTGGTGAGTTTAGTATCTGTGTTGGTGAGCTGTGAGTGAGTTTAGTATCTGTGTTGGTGAGCTGAGTGGTAAGTTTTGTATCTGTGTTGGTGAGCTGAGTGGTGAGTTTAGTATCTGTGTTGGTGAGCTGTGGTGAGCTTAGTATCTGTGTAGTTGAGCTGAGTGGTGAGTTTTGTATCTGTGTTGGTGAGCTGAGTGGTGAGTTTTGTATCTGTGTTGGTGAGCTGAGTGGTGAGTTTAGTATCTGTGTTGGTGAGCTGTGAGTGAGTTTAGTATCTGTGTTGGTGAGCTGAGTGGTGAGTTTAGTGCTGAGGTTGGTGAGCTGAGTGGTGAGTTTAGTATCTGTGTTGGTGAGCTGTGTGGTGTTGGTGAGCTGTAAGTGGCGTTGATTCTTAAATTCTGCTGGCCACGAGAGTGCTTCTGGAGGGTCTGCTGTGGTTTTGCTACTCCGGTGAAAGCGCAGAGACTCCGGGGGTTGGTGGTGGTGATCCGGCGTGGCGAATTTAGTGGCTATTGGTTGAGCACGGTTCGGCAGGACAGACAATCACGAAAGCAGTCTTTCCGATGCACAAATCAATCGGTAGTCCACGGGCTCCCCCTGTTGGTCAATCTGATTAATCGTCCCCGGCTTTGGGTGATCGCTTTTTTACCCCATTGTGTCTATCTGTGTATTCCTTAGCCATTGTTCACACCGTCTCAATTGTCCTGTTCACAATGCATTGTTCGACCGTCTCAATTGTCTTGTTCACTATGCATTGTTCGTACCGCCTCAATTGTCTTGTTCACAATGCATTGTTCACACCGTCTCAATTGTCCTCTTCACAATGCATTGTTCGACCATCTCAATTGTGCTGTTCACAATGCATTGTTCCTACCGCCTCAATTGTCATGTTCACAATGCATTGTTCTTACCATCTCAATTGTCATGTTCACAATGCATTGTTCCTACCATCTCAATTGTCTTGTTCACAATGCATTGTTCGTTCCGTCCCAATTGTCATGTTCACAATGCATTGTTCCTACCGCCTCAATTGTCCTGTTCACAATGCATTGTTCCTACCGTCTCAATTGTCCTGTTCACAATGCATTGTTCCTACCGCCTCAATTGTCCTCTTCACAATGCATTGTTCGTAGCACCTCAATTGTTCTGTTCACAATGCATTCATAATAGAGGTTTTTGGGTTAGATCGCGTAAATATAAACACGTCGTTAAGCCCGCCACCACCCGACACATCCAATTAGTAAAGTGTGTCACGTAAACAAAACGTGACAATTCGTTACTGGTAAGCACACTGTGTGTGTTGGAGAGCCAAGCCACAACTTTTACAATCCGCCTACGACGTTTCGAGTTGTCCGCACCGTCTCAATTGTCTTGCTCAAAAATGCATTGTTCGTAGCGTTTGTCTCGTCTTTACTGTTTGACTCCGTACTGGTTCAGACGTTGTACTGCGACGTCTCGCTTGTAGTCTAGTGTCGTCTGTGCTGTCTCAGACACGATACTGCCTGTCTTGACTACTGGCTACATCGGTTGTAGGGTCTATTGTCAGAAGCACTCTCTACTACCACCATGAGCTCCCAGCCCAAGCACCAAGCTGGAACAGCACACGAGGGAGCGAGTGGCCAGCACCACGCCCGACCGCCTTTGTCTCCCCAGTGCTAATGTTGACACACTGCACCAGGTACTCAAATTAGGCTGAGTCGACTTAGGGGAGGCCCAGGACCGGTTCAGATGACCGTCACTGCTGTTGGTGGCCGTGAGCGGGTGGCCGGGTTGGTGGCGCAGCGCGCTTACCACTGCGCGAACACACATCCATACATCCACACACACTACGCAGTGGAACAAACAGTGTACAACGTATAGAGCCACGTGTCCCCACACGTCCTGCATGGGCTTGCATTGCCCCGAGCAGCGGTCGGTACTTTCAAGGGCAGCCCGAGTTGCACTGGGTTCTCGATGCAGTCCGGGTTGATTTGGGCTTATACTGATAGGAACCTCCTGGTTACACCAGCCCACAGGGGATTATTGTGTCCATCCTCCGTCGTGCAGGGAGGAGCTGGGTGGGGAGGGAGGGGCTGGGTGGGGAGGGAGGTGCTGGGTGGGGAGAGGAGGGTGGGGAGGGGCTGGGTGGGGAGGGTGAGGCTGGGTGGGGCGTGGGAGGGGTGGGGCTGGGTGGGGACGGGCTGGTCACCCCGTGGTGCCCTTATAAAACTCAACGTTTAACCTACTCACGCCGGCTTGTGCCCGCCCTCACAGTCGGGCATATTTGCGGAATACAGCACGCCGCCGTTGACCCTGGCCATTGACCGAGCAACCCAACGTTCCTTACCAGCTACCTCCGCAGGAATGTGTTTTGTGCAGCCCGGGTTGAAACTGAGTGCCATTTACCCAGGAAAATATTGACACATTGGGATGTGTGGCCAAATTCCATGAAGGAGTGGCCTGCTGTGTGTGGAAAACCGGAGTTCCCGGAGAAAAATCAGCAAGCATACGACGAGGGGATAACACTCAAATGCTTCGCATATAATTATTAAAGAACCTACTTGCTGTACTGCAATCTCCTGATAATATCGCCGTCCAGCAGATTTGAGCGTTTCCAATAATTGTCAGTGATTAAACTACTGGCGGCGCTTAGACAATCCACTGCTGGATGAATGGCTCCCTGGCCGTGTCGCTCATAGAGGTCATTTGACCATACTTCACCACGCTGGTCAGTGCGTGTTGGTGAAGGGGGAGGCGGGGGGACAGGAGCCTAGGATCTGAGCAGGTGTGACTGTCCACTGGTGTTAGCCGTGGATGGCAATCGAACTTATGTCACAGAGTTTGGAGTGCAGTGAGCAAACCACTGCACCACCGCTCCATCCCAAATATATTAAAGTGTGCCATATATTATTAAATAATTCGGCAATGGACAGACCGTGGCTGTTGATAACACAAACTACATTCATGGTCCGAAGAAAATATTCCATTCATAGAACAGCAATTAACACAACCTTCTTCTTGGTTCTTTCGGTAAAGTCACGTAGAAGGGAAGTAATAAAATAATAAAAATAAAACATAATAAAACAATATATTATTACTTCCCTTCTACGTGACTTTACCGAAAGAACCAAGAAGATGAATCCCTGCAGTCACGAAAGCTTTAAATCGAAATTTAACACAACCTTATTTATTTATTTACATTCAGATAACCTAACCCTTTATCCCCTAACCCTGACCCAAGCCCGCTAACACATCACACACACAGGCGCGCAAGTCACAGTGATTTAAGCTGCCCGGCTCCAGAGATTTATGGTGGAATTGAATAAGGACACTTAATGAATTAGTTCCTCTAGTTTTCTGCCTCTCACCGCAAACCTTTCCCCCCTCTCTCTCCCCCTCACCACTACCCCGTCTCTCTCTCGCCTTGCTTCGCAAGCAAAAGTGTATAATTGAACAGAGTGAGCGAGCGCGTGGCTCCGAACGACATTCGATAGCCCGAGCCTCATGGTACGAGTCGATGGGCTGAGGATTAAGTGCCCACCGTACTCTGAGTTACGCAAAAACAAATATTTAAAGTCACACGTTGAAAAAAAGCACAAAGCTCAGGCTAACATGACTACGATTGTACTTGACGTCCTTTATCAGTCCACTGCTGGATCGATCTGGGGTTGTTTGACCATACTTCACCACGCTGGTCAGTGTGGGATCGTGCTGAGACTCCTCGAGGGACTGGGTGCAGACGCAACTCAAAGTGACATTAGCCGTAGTCGGTACGCTTCGTGACGCAATGCGCTTAGCCACTGCGTCACTCTCACCTCCAATTTATGACAACGCCCTTTACCTAGGAAAGCCTCAGCCAGCCCAAATACTCCTTTTTTACCACGAGGTTTCTGCGTTGGCTTCGTGTGAAAGGAAACGAAACGTCCTGGGAGAAAACCCACCACACACACGGGGGAGGGGGACTAACGCTGCAAGCTCCACACAGATGGATGCAATCATCTATTTATTTACAGTACTGCATTTCAATTTCCTTGCCACCAAAGAACAGTTTCGTTTGTGTTCACGTGTTTATTGTACATTTTGTGATATGTAGTATACCCGGAAGTGGGAATTTCCTTCTATTAGCTGAAACGTCACACTCCCAAGGTGAAAAAGTTACTTGGATCACTGAAGATGGAGATCGTACATCATGAATGTTGAAGGAGACTTACGGTGATGTAGAAGTTCATGCTGACCCTGCCCCTATAAATAAACCTAATCAACCTCAGGGCCAAATGTTTTGGGTGATCGATATTCATAAGTTTAAATGTTTATGGTTCCCCCCCCCCCCCAGCTATAAGTACTGTATAGACTCACGCTTGCTTTAGCCATGACAGCCTCACTTGACTCTTACTCAGGAGGGTCCGGCTGAGCTTTCGCAGTTGCACGCAATCATTGCTTTGCGTTATCCCAATTGATTAATTTGCAGGTTTTTTCTGATTTATTTCAAATATGGACCATGACACCGGCACGCAAAGGCCTACTCTTCCGCAATGACGTCACTGGCTCTTTAACGTGCACGCAGTACGTTTCTGGTTAATCCGCACACACACCGACGTATCAATCAGGGTGGCCGCTGGGATTCGAACCGTGAACCTCGTGCAACAAGTGGCGGACGCGCTTCCGCTGGGTGCCGCGTCACTGCCAACAGAGTCACCACTGCTGGGCCGTGCCACCGACTCATCAAAGTATTTGTCAGATTTTAAAACCTTTTTTGAACACCATGAATGCTTCTCTCAGTCAGTCACCATCGTTCGTGCAGGAAATGGTTAAAGATACCTGTTAAGGGGTTGGCAGTGCCCTGGGTTTACAAAATTGGAGTGGGAGGGGGGTCCATCTCCTTTGGCTCCTTCGTCCCTACTCATAATAACCAACAATAACCAATAATAATAATAATAATTCAAGTGGCTGGGTGGCTCACAGACGTGGCTTTGCTGAGATTCTGCCTCTGCGTCCAGTTTTAGAACCACCCATGATTATACCTGGGCTCTGGAATGCAGTAAGAGTTGTGCCCTCAGCCCTGTCCGCCAATGGATGGCGTGCAAAAAGAGATATCAGAGCATCTGGTTTTGCACTTAAATGTAACAAACAACCGTCATGCAACGAACATTACTGTGCACCAGGATGCGTGGTGCATTGCAGCACCCCCGAGTGTGAATTAAAGAGGGCACTTGAAGGGATCTCAGAAGTAGCTTTGTAGTATCTACTTTTACGTGGCATTTTCCAAGGCACGCGGTGGTGGGATTTCTCGCGGATGCTTTAGCTCGTGGCACGAATGCAAAGCGCATCTTTGTCATCAACACTTATCCTTAGTCAGGTGACTGGTGCTTTTGTTGTTGTTGTTTATTTGTACCTTCACCCCACGACCAACGTAGCCCACTGAATTTAAACTTTAAATGACACCTGGGAACGCGCGCAAGTTCAAGCCACAATTTTGTCTGCTGGCTTGAGCGTGGGGCTGGGCACGTCGCTATCAGGGGGGGGGGGGAGCGAAAATAGCAACCGCGAGTGGCGGCCGAAGGAGGCAACGCGCCGCGGGGATGCATTCGCCGCGGGGAGATGGGGGGCGACGACACCAACGCACGTGTAGGTGCTGCCCGAATTCGTTGCGTCGTAGGACCCCGCAAAAAGGGGAATAGCGACGTCTTGCGCGGAGAAGGCCCCTCGTGCGGCGGCAGAAATTGATAATCGCCGATGATGTCGACGACGAAGCAACGACAGGGGTCGTGAAGTAATGACGACGCATCGCTTTTGAGATCTCAGGCCAGCCGCTGTGATATAACACAAGTCTCCGTCTCATCAGCGCTAATGGCCGTTTCGCATTCACTAATCGTGGACAGGCAATCCCATTAGCTCGCTCTCTCTCTCTCTTGGACGCAAATTCTGTCTATGTGAGCAATCAGAACGGGCTTGCACCACCACCACCACCGCACTTTCCAGTGCCCCACTCCCCACCCCAGTCCAAGTGAACGCGGCTCATCTATAAAAGAGGGGCACGGAAGGGAGACCCAGGAGGAGTGCGGGTAATATCTGGCGGAAGAGCAAGGAGCCACTCATGGAGTCGCCAATTCTGTGGAACCACGAGAGCGGTGAGTTAACGATTTGTTGGCATTCGTCCACACGTCATCATCACGCCAAGCTTCAATTATCACCATGAGTGAATTACCATCGTCATCCATAGTTTATTATGAACAGGAATTCGATATGAGAAGAAGTCTGTCATCGCGATTGCATCTGGATAGCGGGGTTTGCTGTGATAAAAAAGTTCACCATACGTACAATATTATCATCATGAATAGTTAGGTGGTGATCATGATCATAAGTCGGTCATCATCACGATGGTTCATTAGAATTAACTAATTACGATCATCACCATTAGACAAATAGATTTTTAAATTTACAATTGATGATGTCGGGAAATGTGGTGTACTCCTTTAATATGTCGCTGTGCAGGCTAAGGTCGCCAAGCGTGTAGACTTGTAACATTCGAAAAACCTCTGAGCTACGATTTGGCCCCGAAAGTTACAGTGCAGCAATGCGATTCTCGAATCCATCTGTGCGGGGGCACGGCGAGTTTTCTCCGGGAACTTGGCTTTCCTGCCACGTACGGCGGCAGGCAATACGTTATGCACGTGAAACATGGAATTGTTGAAACATCCCATTGCAAAACATTTTAGACTTAGTAGCTTTCCTGGATAAATAGTTGGCAGGACGATGGCGACATTTATTTAAAATAAAATGCTCCACAATTGTGGAATATTTCTACAGTATACATTTAAAAGGAATCTTCTTCTTTCGTATGGATGATGTAGATGCATAGCAACGACGACAATTTAACGTTCAGGTGGTCCAGGCAGATGACTGTGTGAGCGGAGTTGTATCGCTGCGATGTCTCCTTCGTATTTGCGAATCGGCGCATCGCGTCGTTCTACGTTGTCACCGTCCGTTCTGGATGACCACAGTCGCACACTGCCGGCGAGTTTTTAATTTTCAATTTGTGCATCAAGTATGGTTTAAAATAAATATATCAATACAACAAAATTATATATATCCAGAAGGCACACAAAGTATGTGCCCCCCCCCCCCCTCCTTTGCCTGTCCCCCCCTCCTCTGCCTGCCCCCCCCCTCTGCCTACCCCCTCCTCTGCCTGTCCCCCCTCCTCTCTGCCCCTCTGCCTGTGCCCCCCCTCCTCTGCCTGCCCCCCCCTCCTCTGCCTGTGCCCCCCCCTTCTCTGCCTGTCCCTCCCCCTCCTCTGCCTGCCCCCCCCCCCTCTGCCTGTGCTCCCCCCCCTCTGCCTGTCCCTCCCCCTCCTCTGCCTGTGCCGTAGTGACTGAGAGGCCCGCGCGCTGGGAAGGCCTCGTGGTGGCCCTGGGCGCCGTGGCTCTGATCGTGACCGTCGCGACGAGCGCGTGGCAGCTGCTCCGCAAGGGCCGACGGCCGACCCCCGTGCCCTTCCCCAACTTCGATCACCGCTACCTGGAGGCCAAGTATGGCCGCGATGGGTCCCGGCCCCACGGCAAGGTGAGTGACCCCCTTTCCTTCCCCTTCCTCCCGTCGCCCCCCGACTCCCACCGCAGTAGCCTCTACAAATGTTGTCTCATATTCTTGGTTCTTTCCGTAAAGTCACGTAGAAGGGAAATAATAAAATAATTAAAATAAAACAATACAATTTTCACGACGTTTCAATTGCAACACAAGCAATCGTCATCAGGTGTGAAGAAAAAAACTGCTGTCTCGTCCTACTGCACTGCCACACTCTTACAATGTCTTGACAGCTTATGCCCTCCCACAATCAATGGCCCTCTTATTAATAGCGCGTAATACCCTCTTGAAATGCCCTCTCACGTGAGCAAAGTCAATTCGAAAACAACTTTTAAAAATTACGAGTTTTTTTGTTTCATTGTATAGACATTGGGTGACCAGGCTGAGGCCATCATCTCGCTCCAGTGACACTCAGATTTGAACCCAGGATCTCAGCAGTAGCCCAACTCGAGGTTCGCACGCCCCCGCACCCCCCTCCAAGTAATTATCCAACGCAGCGGTGGCGTGGTGCGGTTGGCATTATAGAGCCCTGGTGAAATGCAACGAATGAAAATGTGCCCACCCCATGTCTGTCTCACCCACTCGTCGCCATACACTGCACTTGTAGCAATGCCCTCCAGAGAGCCCATCTAGGAGGCGATTTGGCCAGAATGTCTTGTAAGGGGGTGGGAGGCCTCACACTTTACCCCCACCACACACGACCTGTATGGGCCTATCCATTGACACTGCTGGGTAGACAGAGGCGAAGGGGATTGAAGAAGTTCTACAAAAAACTAACCCACAATACCCCCCTTTGCATCAATGATAAGCAGGATCTCGTAGCGACATGACTAATGGGAGCAGCCGAGTTCCCCCCACTGGTGTCCTAGGCGTTCACGCTCGTGCTGTGTGTATGCCCTGCATATGTTTGCCGGTTGTACCGCGTGTTGTTCGGCAAGATTGTCCGACGTTTCGTGACAAAGGTGCTGGAGAAGCTCCCAAAATACGGAGCGAAACGTCCGAGTAACCCGCGGTACAACACGGAAAACGCATCGGCGGCTTTTGAGTGGCGATCGAACAAAGACGGTCGCCGCGTCGCGTGGCGCTTCCAGATGCGCTTTTGCGGCCGTCTGGAACGCTCTTCCTTCTGATGTTAGGAAGCCACTGGAGCTATGCACTTTGAAATCATCTCGATTGAAAACATATTTAGTTAAAACAGCTTTTTGTCTTTAGCTTGTTGTCCTTCCCCCGTGCCTCCGATCGCCACAGTTAGTGACGTACGGTGTGAAAGAAGTTCATCGTCCATATATCAGGGAACTGTTTGGATAATATGGTTCGCTGGGCGTTTATGTCGCCATGGGTCATATGAAGCGAGGTCACGGGCCGTGTGTTGCCCACGGATCGCGGGTTCCCCACCCCTCTCATAGTCACTCTAAAGTGTCACTGCCAGAGCCTATTAACATGACTAAACAGCCACCGGGCACGAAGCGTCACAATTGCAGTAAAGTGTCAAACACCCACCGTTTGTATTTTTTGCACGCAAAAAAACCACCGCGAAAGTAGAGAGGGCATCGTCAACACTCGGCCACAAGGTATCGACGGCGGATCGAGTTGGCAGGCGAAGGAGCAGGCGGAATGCCCGGCAACACCACCCCAGCCCTTTATTCTCTAGCTCGCCAATTATCCCCGGGGGGCGGGAAGGGGGGTTACCCAATGCAGAACAACGCTGCTGGAACACGGTGGCCGTTTCTTTCACAGTAGAAATTCAAACGAGAAGCCACCCTCTGGGGCAATTTGTAAGCACGGATTTCAAGCGCCAAAAACGCCCGCCCGCCCGCAGTGCCCGTTAGGCACGCGCTCTGAGTGCTCAGTTTATTAGATTTGTTTCGCCGATTTGCCCGGCGATTTTCGCACGGCAGATCCGTGGTGCGCGAGCACCGCAGCAGCAGCAGCAGCGACTAAACACAACAGACAAAAACACCAACGTCGTCTCTGGTTCACCGATCACTGCGGCCTTCATCCCAACTTGTCCCGGGATCCCACCGTGCTGGACTCAAGATTAATACCGCTGTGTGCACCCCCCATCCACCCTCCTCCTCCTCCTCCCACAGCGTCCATCCTTTGACGAGTCTGCGGACCGCTGGTACGAGACCGGGGAGCGCCGCGCCTGCGCGACATCCCCACTGCGCGTCCTCTTCTTGCGCCACGGCTACGAGGCGATGGACGGCTCCGATGGCCGGGCGCGAGGCCCCACGCCGCTCTCCCGCTCCGCCTCCGCCGACTCCGTCTCCTCCGTGTCCTCCGTGGCGCCCGACTTCGGCTTCCAAGACGACGGCGGCGGCGGCGAGATGGGGGAGTGCGATCCCAGGGTGGAGGTGGCCGTGCAATGCGGGCAAGGGGGAGCGAGGCGGTGGCGGTGGCTCGGAGCTGCGGCTCGCGTTGCTCGGAGCGCGCGGCTCCGTGGACGCAGCCGCGGCTCCGTGGAGGGTCCGGCTCACGCTGCTGGGGCAAAGCGGAGCCACTCACCTGGGCGACAGCGCGCAGGTGAGTGGCGAGGTGTGGCGAGGCGGTGTGACGTGTGGTTCTAGATTTGAAGCTTTCGTGACTGCAAGGATTCATATTTTTAGGTGTTTTCGGTAAAGTCACGTGGGTAAAAAATTAAAATTAATTAAAGTAAAATAAAAATATCGTGCTGTGACGGTTCCACCTGAAGACGGAAGCTTGTGTTGCCTCCGAAACGTCGTGGTTTTTATTTTATTTGTATTTTACTTTTATTAATTTTAATGTTTTACCTACGTGACTTTACCGAAAAAAACCTAAGAATGTGACGTGTGGTGTTTGATGAGGGTGGACGGACGTACAGGTGAGTGTGTGTGGCAGTGCGGTCAAGTGTGTTGAGGTGTGGATGACCGAACAGGTAAGCGGGGAGGTGCGATGATGGGCGGCGTGATGTGGTGAGGTGTGGTGCGATGCGGTGTGATGCAGTGGGATGTGGTGAGGTGGGACGTGGAAGGATTTGGTTGGACTGTACAGGTGAGCAGTTGATGCGCTGATATGTAATGCGGTGAGGAGTGGTGATGCTTGTGTGAGATGTGGTTCGATGCGGGTGGACAGAATGCAGGTGAGTAGATGTGGTGAGGTGAGATGATGATTCGAATGATAGCGATCGAGGCATCGTTTCAATGAACTCAGAATTTTATTTGCGTAAACATTTTGTGCAACGGAGTCTGCTTCTTTGACGATGTCCGCGGTTATACCATCTGGTCCAGGGGTCCTTCCCTTTGTTGGTAGTGTACAGTGCTGCGAAGGGCAGAGTTGACTTCTTAAAATGTAACACTCGGAAGGCCTTCCCCTTCATCTGGTAGAGGCGGCTACGATTCCTCGTCTCTACGAGCAATGCGCAAACGAAATCACCCACCCTCCCACGCACACGCGCGCAGATCTCAGCTGCAGATCCCCCAAACTCGACCGTGGAGCTGGACCAGGAGTTCTCGGTGACGATGGAAGAAGGCGACCTGCAGCAAGGCCGCCTCCACCTCTCCGCCGTGCGGTGTGAGGGTGAGGCCGGAGTGGCCTCCGGGGGACACCGCGGGCGATCGCGGGAGTCCGGAGACCCCGGGGGTCGCCCGCCAGAAGCGCAGCTGCACCTCTCTGAATTGGAACTCCACGTTGCGCCGTTCGTCAGCTGGCTCTTCTTGCGCAAGTCTGGCCAGGCGAGGGCGCTGCGAGCCTGTGGGACGTTGGGTTGCCACGAGATATTATTATTACACATATTTTGTTGTTGTTCACAATCATCATCGGCCATGATCCAATCTACTGCCTGGGCCGCCCCAAGCCCCAACTCCATCTCTCACGATCTCGAGATGCATTGATCCACCTCGCAGCTTCACGCGAGCTGATTTATTCGCTTCCATCTCCTTGCTGGACGTCCCCTGGGACGCGTTACGTGTCAGCTTGACGGCCACTCCCCGTAACGATTCTTCACCATCCGCCATCGTCTCCTGCCCGAGGCCACTTTTATTAACCTTGAACCTTCGTGCGTTCTCCAATCCGTGCATTCCTCGTTCCGTCTCTCTATGTCATTGCTCGTTCCGTCTCTCGATGTCATTCAAAGCGACATTATCTCCACGCTTCTTTTCGCACTTTTGAGTTTTTCAGTCCCACCCCCCTCCCCATCAATGCCCACGTTTCTCCTCCATTCATCACACCACTTAGTAAGCACTATTTCAATCCTTAATGTTGTCACTAACGATATACAATTCAACGATGTGACGCTTACATACCTGTCAACCCCTTGTCAGTGCCCTACCTTATTACAGACCAATTCAGATCTTATTGGTCACCCCGTGCCTTTATAAGTCTCAACGTTCATCCTACAAAGTCCCATCACAAGAGAGAAACACAAATAGACAACTATTATTTTGCCCGCATTGAAACGACTGTTCGCCGTTTTGACCTGAACACTCAATTTCACTCTACAAGAATATGGCTAATCCGTATGGGTTGACAGGTATGTTCTTATCACGATCACCGTTGCATGTAAGTTCTTTAATTTTCTCACATCGTTGTTGCATTTTATTGTTGTGTGCCCTTCCGTCCGTCCAGTACAAATAACGATGGCTTCTTTTTCCTCTCGTCTCTGCTCTCATCTGGGCGCCACGGTGGCTAGGAGATGTTAACTACCTCGCCTGGTGTGCAGGAGGTCGTGGGTTCGATCCCGACCCTGACGCCTGTTGTACATTTTGGAGTTTGCGTGTCTCTCTCTCCCCTTTTCTCCGGGTCCTCCTGTTTCTCCCCCACCCCTCCACATTTTAGAATCAACGTCACGCATTCAGAGTATTTGGCTCCTGTAAGTTTCCACGTGACGATAAGCCACTTCGTTGAGGCCCATTGAGCAGCTCAGTTGGCCTTACCTGGTAAAAAATAAAAATATAGTTATAGAGTGTATACCCCTCCCGACCCCTTCCAACACACCCCCCACCCCCCCAGGCGGCCGAGCGCTGTGGAGACATCCGCCTCTCGCTGAATTACCTCCCCACAGCGGAGCGGCTGACCGTGGTGGTGGTGAAGGCGCAGCATCTCGTGTGGCTGGGGCACAAGGCTTCTGCCGGTGGGCAGGGGGGGGGGGACGCGCAGCCTGGGGGTGCAGGAGAGAGTCGGCATCTCTCCCTCAACACGCCCTAACCCCCCCCCCCCCCCCCCCACTAATTAGCTCTGTAGGCAGGAGAGTATGGAGCCAATCGACTGCAGTTCAACAGTGAAATCCATCTTGATTTGAGGCTTTCGTGACTGCAGGAATCCATACTCTTTGGTTCTTTCGGTAAGTCACGTAGTTAGAAATTAATTAAAATAAAACTAATCACGACGTTTCGATTGCAACACAAGCAATCATCACCAGGTGGAAAAACCACAGCAATATATATATGTTTTTATTATGGATGATATTGGTCGCGAAAGCCTACGTGTTAAACTGGTGAGTGTTCAATTCCCGCTCACGGCCAATACCAGTGACGCTTATCTGAACTGGGCCTCCCCTAGGTCGACTCGGCCTCAAATGAGTACCTGGACCGGTTTTAAACATTGCCACTAGGGAGACAAAGGCGGCCGGGCGTGGTGCTGGCCACCCATCCCCGCCATGTGCCGTTACGGCCTTCATTCGGTGCTCGCTAACAGTACTTGCCCCAATAGACTGTTAAGGCTATACGGGGTTGTGTGGTGGAGTGTTGGTGGTGTTATTTATTGTGGCGGTGGTGTCCCACTGCGCGCAGACCCCTACGTGAAGGTCTACCTGCTTCAGGGGGGGCGCAAGATGAGCAAGGTGCGCACCGCTGTGCGCAAGGACGAGAGGAGCCCAGTCTACAACGAATCCTTCACGTTCAGCGTGCCGCGCGCTTGCCTCCCCGTGAGCCTCTCTCCGCACAGCACTCACACACACGTGCACACACACCCACGTGCACACACATCTACACACGTACGTACACACACACGTACACACGTACGTACACACACACCTACACAAACACGTAGACACACACGTGCCCACACACCTACACACACGTACACACGTACGTACACACACACCTATACACGTACGTACATACACACCTACACACGTACGTACACACACACCTACACAAACACGTAGACACACACGTACCCACACACCTACACACACACATACACACACCTACACACACGTACACACACATACGCACGTACAAACACGGTGGTGAGGTTTACACATCGCGCCAATTACTAATTTCAGTCTGAGTCGACCTAGGGGAGGCTCAGGAATCGGTTCAAATAACCGTCGGTGGCGTTGAACCGTGAACGGGAATAGAACTCGGGTCGCCGGGTTCGTAGCGCAGCGCGCTAACCGCTTCACCACCGCCCCCCATCTCCCCCCCCCCACCATCTCCCGCCGACCACAGAATGTGTCCGTGCGCGTGACCGTGGCTGAGCGCGCGCCCGGCACGGGGGGCCGTGCCGAGGTCGTTGGGCACGTGGTGCTGGGCCCGCGGAGTCGCGGAGCAGCGCTGGCCCACTGGACCGCCGTGCTGGCGTCGCCCCGCAGGGCCGTGGCCGCGTGGCACGCGCTCATCCGGGGCCCGCCGGACGAGTCGGCCGAGGGGGCCCAAGGCCACCCGCAGCAGAGCGGGGGCCAGGCCTCGATCATCAGCAACACCGATGACCTGCTCTGCTAGGGCGGTTTACCGCCGCCGCTGCCGTCATCATCATCACCACCACCACCTCCGATTAGTACGGTTGGCTACGTACGGTGCGAAAGAAGTTCAACATACCCGTACATACTCGATGATGTGTTAGCATGGTTGCATTATCGCATCGTCGTAGTCTTCGTCATCGTCACGATCACTGTAGATATCGGCGCTTATCAGTCACGGTGTCATCACGCAGCATCAGCGGCACCGCCATCCGTCTTCATCATCATCATCCCCACCACGATTAGCAGCAACAGAAGGGGGCGATACAAGTCTGCGGCTGCAGATGCATTCATCACGTTCGTCCACGGCAACCAGCATCGGATGCAGCAACAGTAGCAGTATTGTCAGTGAGAGTCATTAACAATAATCACCATCATCACCATCATCAGCATCGACCAGCACCAGCACCGGGTGGAGTAGCAGCAGCATTCTTAGTGACATCATCATCAACATCATCAACATGATCAACATGATCATTAGCAGCAGCATCCACAGCAGAATTATCAATAGGATGCTCGCCACTCATCATCGTCATGAGCAGTGGCATGATCATTCATTCACAAAATCACCAACAATAAAAGCAGCTGCATCATCATCATCGTCGTGATGGTGGCACAGCTCTGTAATTTAAATTATTTTAAAGATGCGCGTTATACATCTTGCCCACCGAAAAGACAAACAAGGTGGTGTTTGCATCAATAAAAATATAACATTATCCACTGTTAATCCATATTGTGTTATCCATCAATCATTTAACTGCCACAATCTCACCTACCATGATCCATCCATAAAATAACTTGGCATAATAAAGTTTCTAACAACCTCTATTCAATCCGCTCCTGGATGAAAGCCTCCCCCATGCAGTGTCAATCGAGGGTGGGGGGGTGGTGGGGGGGGGGTTGACCATACTTCACCACATTAGTCAGTGGGGGTTGGCAAAGGGTTGAAAACCCAGCACCGGGTTTTCAACCCTCGCTACACGCACACAGATAAACAGACTGCCACCTATATCTGTCCGCCCATAAACATATATACATACAAGTAGATATACAATCCATCGGTGTGTGTCCATGCATTATTATAAGTATTACACTGGTCAACCTGAGGACGGCTGCTTGCGTTGTGGCCGAAACGTCGTGAGAATTGTATTTTATTGTGTTTTATTTTTTATTATTTTATTATTTCCCTTCTCCGTGACTTTATCGAAAGAACCAAGAAAAAGAAAAAACACATACTCTGATAATAAATTCATTGTCTTTGAAACTGATTGGTCCACCCGAGATTCAGCTTTCTTTCGAGCCTCGTCTCAAACGGTGTTAGACCAGAGGACGTCAAAAAGCTGTCTCTGGTTTGGACCAATCAGTTTCAAAGACAATGCATATATGATCAACCCTTATTAATTGGCTGTGTCGGGTGGTGGCGGCTTTAACGACACAGTTATATATTTACGCAATCTAACCCCCCCCCCCCCCCCCCATTATGCACTTTCATCCTTTCCGACCGCGTTTTCACACAAACCCTTAATCGCGTGAAATCATTCTACGCGTACCCAACCACTGTTTGATTGGTCTAACAATCAACATTTACACTTCTCAATCCGCTCAAGCCTCCTGTAAAAAATCACGTGGTTTCTATGTGGCCACTCCCACTCCGCGTTCCTCCACCGCCCCCTGTGAAAACAGACGCTGCTCCGTGCGATGCCCTGATGTAGCAACCTTCTTCCTATCCTCATCTTTACCGACCCCTTGTTTCCGTGTTTCCCAATCGTTTTCCTACCTCTTCCCTCCCATTTCCCATTATTTTATTCATCTCTTTTTCCGCTTCCAGTTTTCTTCTCCCCGTACATCATACCATCGACTCTACCCCGCTTCCTGTGAACGTGCCATGGGTTTAAATGTTGCTAGTTGCCCCTATAACCCATGAGCCAATGGGCCGTTGGGCGTCTCTGCTTTACACTCCGTCGACGTCTCACGCCGTTTCTACACCCTTTAAAATCGACAGCTAGACAGCTCTACCACCTCGCGTATGACCGTGACGATCCACTCACATTATTTGTGATCTAGGGGCATAAAACGCTTCGGGAAATGTCACGTTGAAAGTTTGAACCCGCCCTAGGGCGCAGAGCAGTTAACCGATTCCCCACGACACCGTGTGTCACCACCACGTGTCGACCAAGGTCCTGTCGATGGACGTTGTGAAGGTGGTGGGTTGGGTTGGGGGGTATGAGCCGCCAGGGCCGCGTGGAACATTGGCTAAGAATAGCGCGAAGTCGCAAAAACGAGCGCGATTGCTCATTGCTCCCACGTCAGCCCCGCGAGTCAACGACGCCGTGCGGGTCGTCTACCAACGACTCATCGAGACGCAGCGAGTAGCACTTGTGAAAGCCGGCACGGCACACGTGGGGGTGGGTGGACAAAACTAAGCCCGGCCGCCTTTGTCTCCCCAGTGGTGATGTTTGCACAGCGCAACAGAGACCCACGTCGTGAGCGTGAATGGAACTCGGGTCGCCGGGTTCGTAGCGGAGTGCACTACCCACGACACCACCGCTCTCCATTATACACACAAAGACAAAGATCCCCCGTATAGCCTGAACAGACTGTTGGGGCAAGGGCCGTTAGCGAGGACCTATGAAGGCCGGCACGGCATACGTGTGGGTGGGTGGCGAACACCACGCCCGGCCGCCTTTGTCTCCCCAGTGGTGATGTTTGCGCAGCGCACAAGGTACTCATCTCAGGCAGAAGTCGACCTAGTAGCAATGAGAGGTACTCGACCTCGGGTCGCCGGGTTCGTAGCGCTGCGCGCTAACTGCTACGCTACACACATCTCGTTCTCGTCTACTGCTGCACACGATGTGGAACTCTCCCCAGTCTCCCACGCTGTTGACTTCTCCCCCCCCCCTCTCCAGGTGTAGACTTCGGACTTTCCTCTTGTCTGCCTATGCCCGACCATGTCCGCATATAAAATAAAATAAGCAAAATACTTACAAACAATACGCCATGTACGCATCCTCTTCCCTGTGACTCACGCGTCCTATTACTTTTACGCAGCAAACACTCACGATTGCACGTTGAGGAAAAACGTAAAAAAAATGCAAATTGCATAGTTGTGCGTGTGTGCGTGCGTGTGTGTGTGCGTGTGCGTGCGTGTGTGTGTGTAGTGTAGCGGTTAGCGCGCTGCGCTATGAACCCGGCGACCCGGGTTCGATTCCCGCTCACGGCCAACACCAGTGACGATTATCTGAACCGGTCCCGGGCTTCCCCTAGGTCGGCTCAGCCTCAAATGAGTACCTGGTGCGGTGTGTAAACATCGCCACTGGGGAGACAAAGGCGGTCGGGCGTGGTGCTGGCCCACCCACCCCCTTGTGTACCGTTCCGGCCTTCATAGGTGCTCGCTAACAGCACTTGCCCCTCCAGTCTGTTAAGGCTACATGGGGGATCTTTGTCTTTTATCTTTGTGTAGCCTCGCTCGTGGCACGTCGCGGCGCGACCCGCGTCGCGCACTTTGCGCCTCGAGTGACCCCCCCACGGTTTGGAAGCCACGAAACGGATTACGTTGGGGGCGATCAAGAAAACTCCAAACAGGTTGCTGGGTGCCCTGCACGCTACCGACTCCCACGTGTCGTACCGTATGGGTGCCTACTCACATTCACGGTGACCCAATAATATACTCAACCTGGACACGGTTCGGACATTTTAATTGCTATCAGGGCCCCATGCTGTGATGCTCGTGAAGGACGCTGCTGCTGGGCAGTTGGAGGCAGTCACCCTCCAGCAACAACGGAGGGTAGAGGAGCGACGCTCACAACAACGAGCGCATCGCCGGGCGGATAAAATGCAGCAAGTTGGCACGGTAGGGGGTACAGCCGGTGCATCTAAAGGTAATCTCAGTCAGCCGACCCGTGTCACCTGGGTCTGTCCCGAGACCTCTTGTCAGCGAGCCTTCGACACTTCACGTGGCCTCAAAGTGCACCTGGCCTGGCACAGGCGCCGTGGTGACGTCGCCATGACTCTGTGGCGAATGGCGGGGTGTCGGCATTGGGGGGAGCGGTGGTGCAGCGGTTAGCACGCAGCGCTACGAACCCGGCCACCCGAGTTCGATTCCCGCTCACGGCCAACACTATTTACGATTATTTAAACCGTTCCAAGGCCTCTCCTAAGTCGACTCAGCCTCAAATTAGTAGCTAATCCGGTGTGCAAACATCGCCACGATGGGAGACAAAGGCGGCCGGGCGTAGTGCTGGCCATAGGTACATCGCTAATAGCACTTGCCCCAACAGTCTGCTCAGGCTACACGGGGACTCTTTGTCTTTGTGCAGTCTCCAGCTATTATTATTATTCTCGCCATCTTCTCTGCTACGAGGAAGGGAGGGCCCCATGCCCCCAACACATCGCCTCGTATCACCTCGATTTTCCCGTTCTCTTTTACGGCGGGGGTTATTGCCTGAGCGTGTCAAGTTGTCGTGGATGACGTGGAGAGGAATGGGTTGGGGGGGGGGTTGAGCTCACTACACCCACTGGCTTGCCGGCTTGTTCTTGTTGCTCCCTCCCCCCACCCCCTCGGAGCGCGTGGGGTAGACGTGACTTTCCGGCCCGATTGTTCCCGAGTCGGTGTTCAGCGCCTCCGATTGTTACAACCGCGTCGGGCCCGGAACAACAACAAAAACCGACAAGAAAACTTTCTTTGCTTACCGGCCTCGTTGTGAATATTTAAACATCAGCGCTCCGAGTTATGGCTTAACCGTGTCCCAAAAAGAGTTCAAAGTCAAACGTCACCATCTCCTCTCACCCCCCCACACTCCACGCTCTCGCCAGCCGCAGCCACCACAAAGTGACGATTTAAAACAAACACAGAGGGGGGGAGGTTTTGTTGAAATCCGGCGATGACGTTTCAAAAATTTCGTGGAAGTTTTCGTCTTTCAACAGGAACCGTAAATAAAAAAAATCATCGTTACGTGATTACTGTGCTTACTTGAAAATTGTTGAATTCGGCGAGGCTGGACGCGTTATCTATGGACCTGGCCACGGCAAACACAGAGAGGCGAGTCACGTCCGCGCCTCCGATAGGCACGGCTCGCTACCTCCGTACGTTGCCAAAGAAGTTCAACACTCAGTAACACACGTGTCTGCACCAGATCGCCCCCACCTTGCCGACCGGCAAGACGGCGATGCATGGCAAAACAAACTCCGACGTCAAAAAAAAAACACGGCGTGGGGATGCCTTAATCCAGCAGTCGATCGACAAAAGGGGCAGTAAACTTTCATTTACTAACTATTCAATAGCCACACAACGTCTGGAGAGGCCATGGAAATTCATGATCGCATACCTGTCGACTTAAAAATAGAACCACACAGTAAACATCATCACATTTTGTAAACAAAACCCGCATGTTTGGAATGTTGGGCAGACGCATTCCTAAATGCGTGGTTCTTCAACGGGCGAAAATACATTTCAATTATCTAGGAAAGTCTCGCCAAGTCGGCCCTGCAACCTCCCCACGCAGTGCCGGTCGAGACGGGGGGGGGGGGCTGGGGTTGAGCATACTTCACCATCTTCTTGGTTCTTTCGGTAAGATCACGTAGAAGGGAAATAATAAAATAATAATAAAACATAAAATAAAATTATCACGACGTTTCGGCCACAACGCAAGCAGCCGTCCTCAAGTGAAGAACAGGGCTGTCGGAAAGACTGTTCTTCACCTGAGGGCGGCTGCTTGCGTTGTAGCCGAAACGTCGTGATAGGTTTATTATTTATTTATTTGTATTTGTATTATTTTATTATTTCCCTTCTACGTGACCTTACCGAAAGAACCAAGAAGATGAATCCCTGCAGTCACGAAAGCTTTAAATCGAAACATACATCACCACTTTGGTCAATCCGGCCAGCCGAGTTTAATACCAGACCACGTCGATCCATCAGTGGAGAGTGATGGTCTGAAATAGACGAGCCCGAATGAGTAGCATCAACACGGAACGATGATAATTACCATCAGCACGACTACTGATCAACTGATCGTTCATTACCTTCATCATTGACGAGTGACGCAACATTAGTAAGCAGTTATCATCATCACTACCACCACCACTATTTCCACAAATCAACCTCTGCACTATAACTTTGTCCGACTGGGTACATGGGATATCATCATCACTAATCAGTGATACGCATTGTAGGTTAGCACCATAAATCATGCGTTCTTCATCAGTTAGGCCGTCAATCATGCGTTCTTCATCAGTTAGGCGTCATCATCATCACCATACCCACGCTATTCATAAAGTCAACATGGATGGACCAATCCCTGAATAAAAATATGGAATTTCACCACTGGGTCGGTGAATTTAATTGAGCTTGGCAATGTATACTTGTTTTTTGGGATCGTATCGTTCATGTTATTTTGTTATTGTTGTTGCTATCACCACGAGTCTCTGGTTTGTTAGCATCGAAAATAAAAACCGTATTGACCAACGGGGTTTATTTGTGGCAAAATAAAACCCCACAAGGTGGGTTTCTATCCCATCCATCGCTCAGTAACGAGCAGAAAGAAACCCCTTCTCATCCTCTTGACAAACGGAGCTGAATGGAGGTGCGTTGGGTCAACTTCTTTTATTTTTACTCTCCCGCATTACACTATTTTATGGTCCTGGCACTGTATGCCACGGTCTACACCTGCGTGACGTAACAAAGCGCACCCTTACCTGTGTCCGTGTGTAAAGTTCAGTCGCTCCAAAGCCACACACACAGCCTGCGGCGGCGGCGGTGGTGGTGGTGGGGCAACGAACCGAGACGGTCGACCGCACTCGCGCACCGAGCTTGAGAGAGAGAGAGAGAAAGAGAGAGGAGGTGAGGACGACCATCCCGTCCATTCCAGCAGGACTGGAACCGGATTGGATCTGCCTGTTATGAGATCCGTTGAAAAAGGTGAGTCAAATCGGATGTATTTGTGCGTGCACGTATTTGTTTGGGAGGTTAAATAGGAGCGTCGGGGGATTTTTTTGGTTTATATAATGTTCATGGTCATCATTATTTCGCACACCTACGAATAGCCACGACTGGTCACGTGCAGTGCGAAAGAAGTTCAACACATGCGTTGCCATTATTGTCTCAGAAGTAGCATTGCGCATCAAATGTACGGTAATGAAACTAAAGGGACGCAGAGGTCGAACCGCTGGAGGGACGGAGCGATAAAAACACCTCGTGTGCATGCAGCTAGCCAAGTGCATTGAATTAGATCGTTGACTTAAGGTTTCGGAAGGCCTTTATTCCAGCAGTGGATTGATCATGGTTGATAATGATCAGGAATCGATGTTTCTCTACAGTTTCTACCTAGCACGTTACTTGGGAATGGGAGACTGCATGTCATTACCAGGTGTTATAGGAATTGTGAAAATAATTATTGTGCAGAGTTGTGAGCTTTACTGCGTTACGTGGTGGACTTTCACCGGCCATGCTGTTTTCCGGCCTTGGGACAAACGTGAGTTTTAAAAAAAGAGAGACTTAAGATATTAAAAGTACGGGATGAGAAGTAAAGCGAATAGAACCGTTCTGCGCATCGTTTGTCATTGCACTGCTGGACGAGGGCTTCCCCACGCCGTGCGGATCTTGGGGTTGGTTTGTTTGACCATACTTCACCATTCTGGTCAGTGCTGCTTGGTGAAGGTGGGGCGGGGTTGATGTATTTGGACGCGATAACACATTGGCTTAAAAAAAAGTATATACTGGGCGACGTTTCGGGCAATCACCGTCTTCACAGCGCATAGAGAGATAGAGAGAGAGGTCAGAGGGAGGTAACATAACCAGTTAATAGGATCATTTACACACTACAATGCGAACGTATATACCAAGATGTTGCAAATAATCAGTGAGCATATTTATGCGAAAGCCACAGACAGAGGCAGTTGGCCATAGGCGTGGAGGCCGAACTTGAACAGTGGCAGGGAGTTGACAGCACGGGACGTCGGGGGCAGCAGCGGAGAACGAGCGACCAACACAACTTAATCTACAGCCATTAAATCAATCCACTGCTCGATGAAGTCCTCCACATGCAGTGTTGAGTCATGGGGATTGTTTGACCACACTTCACCCCGCCCCCCCTTCGCCGGTCCTTGCAAATTGGTGAAGGGAAGAAGGGCCCCCGAGGACCGGATGGGATGTCACTGGCCATGGGCTTTAGACGGGTTCGGGATTCAAACCCATGTTAGTTTGGCGAGATAGGTGGAAAGGCGGCGTGGTTAAACGCACTGCGTTACGCACCCAGGGGCTTCACGTCAGCGGCGAGTTGCCTCGCAACAGACACGGCGGGAGGATCGCTCCATCCAGCAGTGGATTGACAACAGGACACTGCATTCGTTTTGTTGCCGCGTGGTTGTGGGCCGTGGCCATTCCTGAGAGCCAGGGAGGCAATGCCTGGACCCATAACCGATTGTACATTTGGCGTTAGAAGGCCCTTGGCAACTGGTTATGCGATTTTATTCGGTTTGTGCTGGTTTCACGGGGGGGGGGGGGGACCCAGGCAAAACAGAGATTGGGGTGACTTCTGGAAGGCAGTGTCAGAGAGACTCCGAGTAGTAGACCACTTGTGAGACCTGTGGTTGAACCGGGTTCTCAAGTCCACAAACGTAAACCATCGTCACGCGAACTCCGCTCATCCTCACAGCAGCAGCGGCGGCTTTGGGCTGACCATCGAACAAAAGGCGGTGGTCACCGCATCGTCGCGCGTTTTCAGATTTGCTTCTGCGGCCGTCTGAAACGTTTTCCCTTCCGATGTTTAGGAAGCCACGCGCTTTATAAAATAAGTCACCTAAGATTGAAAACTCATTCTCTTCAGAACTGCTTATTTTCGTTTTAGTTTGTTGTCCTTAACCCCGGCACCTCCGATTAGCGTGGTGCGAAAGAAGCTCGGCATCCACACACACAGACGGTCTGAGTCCGGAGTGCCATCCTCGCAGGCGCGTTCCATGCCAAGGCCGATATTTTTGTTATCATCATCATCATCAACCCCGTCGAGCGGACACGTCTTTCCCCGCTTGGCGTAATCGTCAGAACGGTCAAAATGCGGCCTTCTAACACGGGTATGTTCGATTGATAGAATATAGGGCCCAAAGCGATCATTATTATCACATAATCATGATAAATTATTGTCGTCGTCTCCAAAAATATAACACGTTATTTTCATCTGTGTTTGAACACAGACAAACACACGTGTGAGAATTTGAGATGTGAAAGTGTCATTATCACCTGCTTGCCAACAGGAGACCTGGAACAATGTTTTGGGTCATCTTTCCAGTATTCTTCTGGCTCTTTGCAACTGGCAGCATCTGGCTCATGTAAGTGCATTATTCATATCAGTCGCCATCACCTACAGCACCATCGCCCACCATTACAATAGCATCAACACCGCCACCAACACCACGATCGTCGTTACCACTTAAAAACAACAATAAGATCAATTTGTTTAAAAGGTGGCGGCGATGTCATCACCGTGCTTGTGGGAGGCTCGGTGCACTTTGGAAGCCACGTAAAACGACGTCGTAGCAATGCTCGCATGAGGTCTCATGGTAGATATCCAGGTGTCATGGATTCACGGACCGAGATGGACTGGCAGATGCACCACCGGTGACCTCCGCTGTACCGCCTTGCGCTTTATTTCGCCACCTAGAAGTCAGCTTGTTGTTGTGTCACTCCTCCACCCTCCGTTGTTGCTGGAGGGCCACTGCCTCAACTGCCCGGTAGGGTCCTTCACGAGGCGCCTCCGCAGATGCCACTCTTGTACACTGCCGGTGTCCGTCGTCAGCAAGACAACTAAAATTGACGTTTTCTCCCTCTGTTTGAGCCCACGCTTTCCACAATTTATTAGCCCCCCTCTATCTGTGCAAACGGAATATAAGGTGCTAATCGCATACCGCGTCAACCCATACGGGTTACCCGTATTCTTGTGCGGGGAAATTGAGTTTTCAGGTCCATACGGCGTACAGCCGTTTCTCCCTCGTGATTGGACTTTGTAGGATGAACGTTGAGATTTGTAATGTCACGGGGTGACTAATAAGGTCTGAATTGGTCTGTAAAAAGGTAGGACCTGATAAAGGGGTTGACAGGTGTGATATCTTGTCTGCATCGTGTTTCTATTGAAAACAAATATACACACAGACAGGCTCCACATTCCCATATTTAAAGGTTTGCAAATTATATGTATTGTATAGGTTGATTAAAGGTGCTTTTAACAAAAATGCCAGTGCCATAGAATGAACGAAATTTATTAGAATTGCTAATTTACCAAAATGTTGGCTTTTGTCCCCAAGTTATATTGCCAATAGCACCACCACCACTATCATCCCCACCTGCAACACCAAAATTATCCACATCACCAACTGCATCAGTCGTTAACACTACGATCACCAATAGCCGGCTCATGTGCCAGGCTAGGTGCACGCTGGGGTCATCTCAAGTACAGATTTCCCACGCTTGATGAGTTTCAAGAAAAAGGGCACAAAGCGACACCACACGAAGAGAGGGCTGCCTGCCGATTAGCGCACACACAGTACACACACAGAGTACACACACACAGAGGACACACACAGTACACACACACAGTACACACACAGAGGACACATACACAAAGGACACACATACAGAGGATACACACAGTACACACACAGTACACGCACACAGTACAATATATTTTCCCACGTCCGACCACATACGAGTGCATAAAAAACGCAATATATAGATTTTTTTTATTGGGGTAGAAATAGGCTAGCAGCGTAATTATACGCGAAAAAATCGCACAAACAGAACCCGCATACAGCGAGGGGAAATCGTATTGCAGGCTCGCTGCGAGGCGGCCAAGGAACCGATGCAACACCCCCGCCACAAACACATGGAAAACACTTTCTCGGTACACGTGCACAATTGACGCGTTGCAGCAAAAGACTTTTGACGTTTAAATTCCAATCGCTCATCTCCGCGTTCGTCTCCCACGAGCAGATACGGCTTGGCGGTGATGAACAACCATGTGGACCCTGCAGTAGAATTTCCGTACATCAGGTAATTACCCCCCCCCCCCCCCCCTACAACCAAGTAACACATGGCCACGTGTCAATTCACTGCGTGGTTAAAGGTTCGATTCACATTTGCAAATGTAGACTCCAATCGGTTACATCCGTAGGGGATGGCGTTTCCCTCTCGCATGCGTGCTCCGATTTTCTCCCGCATATAAACTCGGCCCATAGCATCTTCATATATAGAGGACTGCAGATCTTGGGCAATGGTTGGCGCTGGCTCATCGCGTGGCTGTTGCCTTCCCACGTCGTCTGTAGTTCTTCCTCGCACCTGCCGAGTCGTTCTCTCTTCTCGCGTGAGCGAATAGTGTGCGGCACGCTACACATTTTAATCACACATTTTTGGAATGTACATTTTATTAAGAGGTTTTTTTTGGGGGGGGGGGGTTTATTCGCGTAAATATAAATGTATCGTTAAACCCGCCACCGCCCGACACAGCCGATTAGTAAGGTTCGTCACGTAAACAAAACACTCGTGTTGAGTAGTAGTAGTATGGCGACCCCGTGACGAAAGCGGGGTCGTGGTGGGAGCCCGGGATGATGAGCGTCTCGAGAAAGGTTCTCCTGCTCGTGACCGGACGGCGTTGGCTGAGTCCCCGTCCGCGTTCTGCGAGTAAGAGAGCCGAAGAGATCGCCGAGGCTAGGCACAGATGGAGCCGAGTGTCCACGGGAAGGACCGTGTGTAGGACACCTACCCAGAGCCGGCCCAGCCACTAAGCGACCCTTGCAATTGCAAAGGGCCCCGTGGCCAGCAGAGGGCCCCCTAGAGTCACTGCTAGCTAGTGGGTGAAAAAGATCATACATCAAAGGGGCCTCCAACCAAATTTTGCTTAGGGCCCCCAAAGGTCTAGGGCCGGTTCTGCACCTACCCCTGGTTGTTTAGTCACCATCTTCTTTGTTAATAAACCGGCGCAAGCCCTTACCTGCAAATCTGCCTCCGAGTCTTCGTTCACCACTCAACACTAGTACAGCACACCGGTGTGTTGGAGAGTAAACCCACATTTACAATCGGAGCAATTTTATCATGGTTAGAAAGGATCATGGTTTACACCGCATTGCCTGTTGACGGATGATGATGACAATAGCGCCTGGCTAGTGAGAGCTGGCTCCTGCTGGTCTCCTGGCTACATTCATTCATTCGTGACCCCACTTAACCCCGCGTGACCCCTCGTGCAGTACCTGCGGAACGTATCCTCCACAGAGCTGCATCTTCGGACAGCTCCTCAACTTCGGCGCGCTGATGGGTGAGCGAGTTGGTAGCTTCGTCTTCAGAGAATGACTCAATGGAAATCCAGACTTTGAGATTGTTTTTTTATCCACGGGTTGTCATCGACAAAGACTCAATTAAAATTTGCTGACCAAGTTAACGTTGTCTGCTACCCATCTAACCACTGCTTCCCAGATTGTCCCCAACGCTGGGTCGCAACTTGTTTTTTATATCGTTCACATTATCTTGTTGCAATTCCCCGCAATGCCACGTGCTGGGCAACAAGTGGGGAATTGCAGTAAAAGAGCCATTGGTTGTACGGTACGTCTATGCTCCCGAAATCTGTTGCGACCGCTAATTACCAACACACGCGGAACTGTGTGGATCACACTGAGGTTTGGGCACATAACTATCATCATCACCACCACCACCACCACCCACACGGGGTGTGGTAGGCCCTCATCCAGCAGTGGATTGACAAAGGACTGCGCATGTACTTACCGCCAGAATTTACTTTAACTTCCAATCCTTCATTCAGTCATAGCGGGTGCCTCCTCTGCTCGAATTTGGCCAAACCTCAGTCTAAGTCACACACGTGTGTGCCTCTGTCTTGCATAGACTGTACTGTGCGATGTGTAAACATTGCCACTGGGGAGACAAAGGCGGTCGGGTGTGGTGCTGGCCACCCACCCCCCACGTGCGCCGTGCCGGCCTTCATAGGTGCTCCCTAACGGCACTTGCTTCAAAAGTCTATTGAGGCTATACGGAGGATCTTTGTGCGCGTGTGTGTATGTATACATACCCGTGTGTGTGCGTGTTGGTTTGGAGGAGGTCCAAATGAAGTATGTGTATTGCACTTCGCATTTCATTGCTAAAGCATGCCCCCATGCAGCTAGTCGCGCGCCACCTCTACATTATTCTGGTATGGCACGCCGTGCTCTAATCAATTTTTATTGATGCATTTTCACGGCATGAAATAACGCAGCGATCAGCGCTGTACTGGTTGCGTGCGCCCGGGCACATCGATTGCTCTTCCCATTAATTGTCTTGCAGGGTTTCCCAAACTCCAGTTGAGTACTATAGATAGTATGTAAATATATCTCATTGTTTGGGATTTTCAGATTTCACGTTGAGTGTTAACGTATTGCCAGATCGATGAGTGGCAGATTTGTGTCAGACAGGCGCCAAGTATGTCAACAAAAAATGAAAATGACTTGACCGAACACATCACGTCTTTCCGCGTTCACCAATTTACTCATTCAAACACAAATGAACTCGTTCCACGCTGCACGCGCCCGATGATTGTTCAACACGTCCCACGTGACGCGCCAAGTAATTAACACTGCGATCTCATCCTTAATGTGAATCCCCGCCCCAGTGGGTTCCATCAGCGTGATGCGCTACAGGTTTCTGGAGGAGCAAGGAGATCGGTCCTGGGTCAACAAAATTAGCCTCGCCGCGGGGCTCCTCAGTGCCTTGGGTGCCTCGCTGGTCGGGAACTTTCAGGTGAGACAGTTAATCTAGCTGTGACGGTCCCACCTGATGACGAAGACTTGTGTTGCCTCCGAAACGTCGTGATTTATTATTTTATTTCTATTATTATTTCTATAATTTTTTTTAGTTATTTTTTACCTACGTGACTTTACCGAAAAACCTAAGAGTATGATTCCTTGCAGTCACGAAAGCTTCAAATCTAGAACTTTCAGGTGACCACGCCCTGACCACGCCCTTGACCATGCCCTGACGCTGCATTGCCTCTCTGTAGTTATTGGCCCTAACAGACACCATCACGTCCATCGCCTTGTCCACCCCTGTCACCCGAACACACTTTCAACAAACGTGTACACCCGAAACGGAATGAGTAACGATGCTACCTGTTTTTTTTTGTCGATCGTGCATTCTGTTGCCCACTCACCCCTTCCCGTGTGCATGGAAAGTAACGGGTGTTTAAAATAGAACCAATATTTTACCTTGACACGTTTAGGAGGGGCTCAGCCCCCTGCTGTTGTCTTCCCGTCCGTGTCTGTCGTTCATCGCACCTCCAAGTTGCCATCTCTCTCCGAGAGCGAGCGAATACGTTCCGCGATTTTGGACAATTTTTGACCCCCCCCCCCCTCGTCACACGGCGTCACAAAAAGTCAGACCCCCCTCAAATGACGTCACAAAGCTCTACCCCCCCCCAAATAAAACATGCTTCAAATCGCTTTAAACTATTGTCATTGTAGTGCGTATTTAATGTGGCGCTGCACTCTGATGTTGTAGGAGAAAACATTTATTAAAAAGTCTATTTATTTAAGTAGAACGTGTTGTCTATATTTATTTAAAGTTGCGCATCTTGATGTGATGTCACATTTCTCACCACCTTCCTCGTCACATCGTCACAAATGTCTGACCCCCCCCCCCCCCCCACCTAGGTGCGTGACGTCATTTATGAACGGGCCCCGAATACGCGGCAACGTTCCAAGTTCCACTGATCATTATCATTACCGTGATAGCCAGGGTCGTCCCTCCTCCTCCTCCCCCCTCTCACCTCGTCTCACGTCACGCGGGCAGGTGCTGAACGAGATCAACACTCACCTGGTGGGCGCCGTGCTGGCGTTCGGCGTGGGCACCCTCTACTTCTGGATGCAGACGGGGCTCGCGTTCCGACTGCGCTCCGCGAGGATCGCCCGCGGAACGTCACGGTGCAGCCACGGCGTCCTCATCATCGTCACGGCGCTCGGCAGCACCGCATCCACCGTCAGCGCCGCACTCCGTATCCTTGGTGGCGTTAGTTTTTGTGTTGTTATTGTTATTATCGCGAGTGTGTTACCGCCGTCTTGTTATGTAGGGCAATCAATCCGTTCGGATCGCGTGCAGAGCAGTGCAAACTTTGAGTGTTCGAGGAATTTTGCCCACTGAAGCGGATGTCAAAGAGCTAATCGTTAAGATGGTTTCAAATGACCTCCGGCATGCAGAGTAGAGGGCAGCGATTTCACACCCGATCTGCATGAGGATTATTGCTCGTCACATGGCAGTCAAAGCGATATTTAAAAATTGGCAAGAGCTGGAATGTAGCAAAATTATGTACGCAGGACAAAATTAAATGCGATGATTTTGTGTGCGCAGTCATTCGTGACCATCAGCTCACCGCATTTGAGGACCCGGTTAAATTGCAGGCTTGTAGATCCGCTAGAGACCCAAACCCTGGATTCGAACCCAGGGCCTCAGCGGTGCCAGGCTCAGCACTTTGGCCTCTTGAGAAGTTGAGACACCTTGTCGCTCCGCGTATCCCAATTGTGGTGGTGGGTCGTGGCTCGAGGTTGTGGAGATTGGCAAAGGCCACCTCGAGATTTATAATCTCAGATCGTGATTCGCTCAGGTGGACTAATTGATGAGTGGAACACCGTGACAATGGCGTGGTGATTATGCACATTGACGATGGAAATGCCACCAATAATACTGCAAATGGTCGTGTTGCTGATGTTTGTGTTTAGAATGTTGCCCTTCCCCCGCTCCTCCGATTAGTGCGGTTGGCTACGTACGGTGTGAAAGAAGTTCAAAGTAAACACACTGATAGCACTGTTGCTGCTGCTGCTGATGATGACTAAGACACATGGAAGAAATTCGAGGAAATGCCTTGACCGCCACGGCCGCCGCCCAGTGCTCACCTTCAACTTCATGGGTCACAAGAGCGAGGCGGCCATCTTCGAGTGGATCCTCGCCATGGTCATGTTCGCCCTCTTCGCCACCTTCTCCTTCGACTTCCACGAGATTCGCTCCTCGGGTCTCTCCGTGAAGCTGCGCGAGCCGCCCCCTCGCGCGCGCATGTCGCTGCGCGAGACGCCCAACGTGTCGACCATCACGCTGTCGCGCCCAAGCCCATCGCGTGACGGGTGGGCGGACACACACGAACAGATGGAGCGAGCGAGCGCTGGACAACCGCGAAATGTTAACGACCTCGCCTGGTCTACTGGCAATCGGGCATGAACCTGTCAGCACTAATGTTACGATGGGAACTGCCTGTATCCTATCGCCTGCGCGTCACGGTGGCGAGATGTTAACTCCATCGCCTGGTATACAGGAGGTCGTGGAGCGACCCTGACGCCTGTATATCTGGAGTTTGCGTGTTCTCCCCGTGGTCGCGTGGATTTTTCTCCAGGTGCGATTAGACTATTTGGCTACTGTAAATTTCCACGTGGTAAGCCACTTCTTTAAGCTATCATTTGTGGCCAGGTCGCTTCTGAAAAAGAGCTATATTGCTCAGTGGGCCTTAGCTGGTAAAACAAAAAAAACTAAAATAGTTCATAGTTTTAACTGCCGACGTTTTATTTTAATGGTGGCCAAGTTGATTTTGGTTTAACCAGCGGAGAACTAACAGAGACCAGGATGATCAAATTGGCAAAAGCAAAAACGAATGAAATAAAAGTTCAGCAATGAAGCGAATGTACATCAGGGGAAAGACAATGCGGTTGCCTACGATCGTCGCAGGAAATAGTTGCCGCAACATTTCAAGTAAAAAAAAAGAAAATCCAAAGTGATTACGTCCTAAAGTGAGCACTGCAGGCAGTGCTAACCTCCCGTCGACAGCCCTGAACCTGTTAAGGAAATTCTACATTCCCTTGGCGGAGACGAGTCTATCCATAGGACACGCTCGGTTGACTTCCCCAAAAAGCGGTACTAGTTTAGTCGACCTCGCAGGGATGATAGGCTGACTCAAACCCCCAACCATTTTTCATTGTATGTAATTGGTCCAACGGATGTATGCAGCATCGATTCGTCGATTAATATCGATGTGTCAATCGAAGTACGCGTTTTTAATATTTATACTTCCTTTTTAATCGATCAACTCGAGTTATATCACGACTAATGGCCTTTACGTCAACCACAACGTTTAAAAGATATATATATACAACCGATTTAAAAAAAAAGAATTGTTACCTTCAATGGTGGCAAATAGTCGATTATGCAATGGGTGAATTGTTTGTAATGTAGCGAGCGGTGATTAACAATTTGCACTTTTCTGTCGAGAATTACCAAGTATTTATCAATAACAATTTAGCAATAATAAAAGTAATATATGCTATTTAAAAACTCATAAAACAAAGGCCGAGTATCAATACTCGGCCAGTTCCATGAACGAGCACTTGGATTTGTGTAAGAGAGAACTGGAGACCCTGGAAAAAATCCACACTGCATACGTGGAGGTGACGCTCAACACACTGCCACCACCAACACCACCCACCATCACCATCACCCACCACCAACACCACTGTCACCACCAACAAAGACAAATGTCCCCCATATAGCCTTAACAGCCTGTAGGGGCAAGAGCTGTTAGCGAGCACCTATGAAGGCCGGAACGGTACACGAGGGGGTAGGTGGCCAGCGCCAAGCCCGACCACATTTGTCTCCCCAGTGGCGATGTTTAAACAATGTAGTTACTCATTTCAGGCTAAGTCGACCTAGGGGAGGCCCAGGACGGGTTCAGATAATCGTCACCGGTGTTGGCCGTGAGCGGGAATCGAACCCGGTTCGCCGGGTTCTTAGCGCAGTGCACGAACCGCTACACTACCACTCCCCACCAACACCACTGTCACCACCAACACCACCTACCATCACCAACGCTACTGTCAACGCTACCATAAAAATGACCATCATTAACAACCAAGACAACCATCAACGCCATCATCACTAACCCCAACGACATCACCATCACTCGTCGTGTTTCGTCACTACAACACCCGCTCGGCTGAACGGTGGATTTGTGACCCTACCTGTGTGGACCTTTTGAGTGTTAACCACTCGTGAGCGTGGCGAGTGTTCTCCGGGTTTTCCAGCTTCCTCCAAAAGGAGGCAATACACTCGGCATCTCCGATGAGCGCGGTTGGCTACGTACGGTGCGAAAGAAGTTCAACATACACAGGACATACACGATATGAAAAAGGAACTGGTATAAACATCCCAATCACGCAGGACCCCTCCTGCACAAGTCTTGAGACTTAGTGCGGTTAGATTATTAAACAAATACATATTATTACACTCCAGACCACAAGCGTTTAGGAGATGAAACATATTTATACACAGCAGCCAACCACAACAGGGCAAACTCTGGACACAATGACTCGCAATGCACAATGGATGTCAGGTGGAAGTTTCGTGTGAAAATACAGCAACAATGTTTACATTTTTTGTGAATATGCATACTTGAACACATTTAATCGTTGCTTTTATTTAATCGATAACAGTTTTTAATGCTTTTCCAGCAAAGTAACAATAAAATGTATTTGCGCTGCCCATCGACAACACGGGTGCCTTGATAACTCTGGTAAAGATGATCCAACAGAAACTAATTTTAAGTTTAAAAGTCGTGTTGCTATGGGGGACTTGCCCTATACAATACCGGGCAAATGTATGTAAGGGTTACTCAAAACTCGAAAGGTAACCTAATTACCGTTAATTAAACACTTCTGAGGCCAAGCGAATACTGTAAAATGCTACACAAGTACATGCATGCTTTTCTTGGTTTGTTTTGTACACCGCTCGCATGGAGTACATATTTGTGTGTTCGACCAATAAGGACGAAACACGCATTTAGATATTTTATTTTCAATGTTATCTCCTCCATTTGTATTGACGCGTTGCTCAGGAGAGAACGGCTACAGTGCATGTACACACACACACACATCAGCGACAAGCGATATCAGCATTTGTCCTGGGAACTGCCAAGGTCAACAGCAAACAGCCGTGCACAGTTAGCGAGCACCTAGCAAGGCCAGTCCTGTACACATGGTGGCGGTGGTGGTGTGGCCATCAAATGCCTGGATATCTATATATTTCCCCTCCCCCCGTGTTGTCTACTTTGTACTTCGCAACAGAGTGGTCAATTAGGGCTGAGTCAATACAGGTGGGTAAAGGTCGGTGTTGGGAGTGGTTATCACACTGCGCCATGAACTTGGGCAACCCAGATTCAATTACCGGCCATGACTAACATCGCAGGCGACTGATGTGCATTAGTAGTTCATAAACAGCCCCTCCGCCGTCACGACTTACCAGCCCACATTGACCAGTGTGGTGAAGTATGGCCAGGCAATACCTGTGACCGACGTAGCACAGGGATGCCTTCAACCAGGATATAGCCACGACTCACCACCGATGCTGGGAATCGAATCTCGGTCACCGGATTAGGGTGCTGCGCGCTATCCCCCGCACCACCGTTGCGCCCGCAACACGATCAACGGCAGCGCCTGCAATTTGCTGCGCGAAGTGTGAAGAGGGCAGTGCGAGAGATTTAAAATATATATATTTTTTTCATAATAAAGTTTTTTGGTTAGATCGCGTTATTTATAAATGTGTCGTAACCCTCCACCATCCGATACGGCCAATCAGCTAAAAAGTGTCACGTTGACAAAAGACAAATAGTTCACTGCTTTAGCCCACCGGTGTGTTGAAGAGTGAAACCACAACGCGATCTAACCCAAGAACTTTATTATGAATAATATTGGTCGCGAAAGCCGACGTGTTAAACCAATATATATATATATTTTAATAATTACTACGGTGGTACAAAAGGGTTCTGAGCCTATCATCCATTCAAAGTATACGCGGCAATAAGAACCACACCATCCGGTGGTTGTGAATTCCCTTCGGCTCGGTGTTATCTCGCGTCGCAAGGTTCACGATTGCACGACGGTTGAGTTCCTGAATGTGGCGTCGGTGACGGTCTGCCTGCATTTAAGGGCCTCCGTGAGACGCAGCCTCCAGAGCGGCGTTCTTCATCGCAAGTTCCGCGGGTCACTTGCGGCCCCTGGTGGCAGTTAGTGCGGCCTCTGACAATACACAAAATTAGCTAAAATTTTTATTTTTTTATTTAAAGCTTTCGTGACTGCAGGGATTCATCTTCTTGGTTCTTTCGGTAAAGTCACGTAGAAGGGAAGTAATAAAATAATAAAAATAAAACATAATAAAATAATTCTCACGACGTTTCGGCTACAACGCAAGCAGCCGTCTTCGAAACGTCGTGAGAATTATTTAATTGTTTTATTTTTATTATTTTATTACTTCCCTTGTACGTGACTTTACAGAAAGAACCAAGAAGATAGCTAAATTTTGTTTTCTCAAACTGCCTATTTCCCTTTCTAAAATTTACCAGGCTCTCATAGGGCCATTCGATCTTTCTCTCCCTCGGTCGCTTCGGGGTGGATTCATTGACATGCTCATTTTCTCTGCTCCAGCACCTGTCCCAGCAGACCCACCTCTCTCTCTGCCCCCCCCCCCCTCTCTCTCTATTTAAGGCCTCGACACAGAGGCATTGGGTCTCTGTGTCTATGTTGCGTGTCTCTCTGTGTGTCTGTGTTGTCTCTCTCTTTGCTTGTGTGTCTGTGTCTCCGCGTCTGCGTTTTGTCTCTCTCTCAAATTTAGTTCTGATGACGGTTGCTTGTGTTGCAATCGAAACGTCGTATTCTATTATTTAATTTATTTTCTTTCTACGTCACTTTACCGAAAGAACCAAGAATATGACTTTACTGTGGTGATGGAACCATTTACGCTGCTACATGTACGCATGTATGTAGAACTTCTTTCGCGCCGTACGCAGCCGATTGTGCTAATCAGAGGTGCGGGAGAACGACAACAAACTAAACACTAAAGGATTTAAATGAGCATGGTGGGCAGGGTGGAGATTGAATAAACCTGCGCCACTGTCACAACTGCCGCGCCGGGAAATTGCATCGAAGTGGTGACATCTGGATTGTAAATCGATGGCCATTGAACCACGGAGGTATCTACTTGCAAAATCCGAAGCATAAGGAGGAAATTCATCGCTAAGCATCGGGGACATCAACGGTCTTCGGTATTTCCTTCGATGCGGAGGCTCAGAACCTTTCCGTACTGCTCTGAGAGAGCATTTGCCAACCTGCCTAATAAACACCACCCAACCAGCATCGTCTCATCGACATCACAAAACCGCGAGACAAAACGATCACTTCGAAAGGAATATTTTAGTTTATGTAGAGAAAATACGTTGATCATCACTAAAAATGGCTCTTAAAAACGTTCGAGAATATATTTTTTTCTCTACGGGTGTGTGTGTAAAAGTAGCAAACGTACACACTCCCGCTGAGCCAAACGGGTTACAATCAGTGCATATTGCTAAGTGCTGTGGAATTATTGCACACTTCACTGCACTCTGCTGGTGACGGGAATAATGTATAAACAGTCTAAAAAAATCAAGACATTTTTCAACACTTAACACGCTGATAAAACTGACATTACCAAAGGAAGTAAATAAAACTTGAAAGAGAGAAAAAAATTATTACTCTCCTTAGTGCTTTGCGTGCGCGTCTTTAGACAAATGGCTATCATCTGAAATGTAACCACAGCCTGGAACAGTTCAACGAGGAACAGATTTGTCCACTACTCAAAACTCCACAATTTCCCAATCACTGACCCGGTTAAAACAACTCGGCATTGTTAGATATTCCCCTCAAGCATTTTCGTACCAGTGGGAATTCTGTAGAGAGACTGGGACCTTACATTTCAATATCCAATTTTCCTCGACTGGGTTCAGGGTCATCAGCGTGAATCGCTTGGCGAGAAGCAAGTGCATCATCGCTCAGTGTCTAGGGCAGTGATCTTCACTCATTTGTAAACGGGGAGCCACTTTTGCCGATAAGACATCAGCAGTGCGAGAGCCGTCACCAGAGGTCACAAACGGGTTTTGATTCCTTACCCGTACCCGGCCGCACCAGGGTCGCAAATGGGTACCCGTACCCGGCCAGGTACGGGTACCCATTCCCTACCTGTACCCGTACCCTACCCGAAATGAGTGACAAACGGTTACTCACCAGTGACTCACGGCCTACCCGTACCTGTACCCGGCCGCACCAGGGTCGCAAATGGGTACCCGTACCCGGCCGGGTACGGGTATTTGCCAACCTGCCTAACATGTTAAGGCAAACTAATATTTTTCTATATACAGCAAACCCTCTCGCGGGTTTAGCTATTGCGGCTTTACGCCAAATTTGAGGTACAGATCGCCAATCGCGTCCCTGTGGCTCGACCATTCGGCGACTGACCGCGAGATTTTTCCGTGCATCGTGACTGCGCTGCTCGCAATGCTGCTGCTGCAGCGGAATAACAAACTCGCCGTCTTGTCTCCGTCCTGTCTCCCGAGTGCCCCATCGTGCGTCCCAGACCACGTGGTGTTCCCAGCCTCCGGCGAGGAGGCAGTGAGGTTCAGCCGCGCGATTTTTTTTCCTGTAACGTACAGTAGTGTACACTTCGTAGAAAAAAAAAAAAGACGCGCTATACATTGACCACACAAGTTATATTTAACACAAGAAAATATAACATTTGACATCAAATGTTGAGGTTGATGTAGGGTAATATAAAAAAAAGGGGGTGGGTGTCGTATTACGAACCGTGAACCAAACCCCGAGTTTTCCCACAATGCCTTTGAGTGAATGGGCAAGGCTCTCCCGTCTATTTAATTCTCAGCAGTTGGCAGTGCCAAATCGAATTAAGTTTAACGTGATGGGTTTCCGTGTGCAGCAATTGGTGACTGGCGCTACGACCATCAACTCACCTGTACGCGAAGGCCGCGGTTTAATCACGGACGGCTGAAACCCTGACTCCGGAACTCAGGTCTCAACTGCGCTGGCTCACTGCTCTGACCGCCGAGCCACTTGGCCGGCAGGCCACTTTTAGTTGACGCGCTGTATTAAAATGAGAGATGCCCGGTAAACGTGCAACGTAGGTCCACCGTTGGCATGGGGTTAGAACTCTCCTGGTTTACTAAGTGGGGGCCGGTGCTTCAACCTCTTGACTGATGCGGGTACCTGTCGTCAATAAATAATTTATGAGATGAAAAAAATGCTACGACGAGTTGACCTGGTCACCCCATGACCGCAGTCCTTCCCATTGCTCGCAGATGAATGCACGAAGTGAACAACCGGGAGACGCGGTAGCTGACCCACTGCGACTCGGCCAACGACCCAGCGAATTTCTTTTTTTTTTAAACGCATCTTCGATTTCGTTGTCAGCAGGGGGCAGTGCATCACGGGCCAACGTACTCTGTTATGCCCCAATCTTTAACTCCTGTACCAGCCCGCACTGATCAGTGTGAAGTACGGTAAGTCCTCGCTTAACGCGTTTGCGTTCACACTATAACGTGTTCTGACTGTAACACGGTTCTTCCATTCGGGAACACTTTTCGCACAACGCGGAATGTGCCCGTTATAACACGGAACACGCCCGTTATAACGCGTTTCTGAGCGGTTGATGACGAACTACTTTATTAAGATGCGCGGCTGAGCGCTCCAGCGAGACAGTCCATGGAATGATACAGTAACGTGGTGGCGTACCCTCAGTTATTTATCCCACCATCTCACTGTGTGTGCGTAGTAGTAGTGCATCATATCTAGACTAATTTCATCATTAAATTATTTATGGGAAAGTTGTTTCCGCTTAACGGCGCTCGATCGAGTGAGCGAAGCGGTGATCAAGAAGGCGAGTGATCAATTAAACTAAAGATGAGGCAATCAACGGAATGCCGATTCAACGAATGCTCCATTTATGATTATGCAACTATCCAGCAATCGAACATAAGCGGAGTAAATAATGACTATCGCGCAAATCCAATGGACGACGATCAAATGAGCGATTTGAAACAATCGAGCGATCGAAATATGCCGATTCGAATGACAACCGAGCAAAAGATCAAATATCAATGTCACGCAAGTGATCAGGAACACGATCAAAACTAATGACAAGAGAGCGACTCAAACGACCGATCGAACTGCCCATCGAACGACTGAATTGATCAAATCGGGCACGCAAACAATCGTACGAACGATCAAACGGACACTCGGAACGAATTGAAAAATAAACCTAGCGGTCGAAACGACCGAATCGATCAACCGCACCATCCCGCTGACCATTCGTTCGCGCGCGATCCCCCACCGCTTTCGTCTCCCTCCTCCGGCTCACAGCTTGGCGGGCGCCAGCCGGCGAACCCCACGCGCCGCCATGAAGCTGTGCAGCGCCTCCAGGTACTCGCTCTCGTGCGTGCGCATGTGCGCCGCGTGCCGGGACTTGTCCCAGCACACCGACGACACCTCCTGGCCGCGGCCGCGCCAGCCCTCCACCGTGTCGTTCACCACGGCGGCGTCGCTCAACCTGTCGTCCAGCGAGTAGTAGACGAGGGCGGGCGCGTAGCAGGGCCCCCTCTTGAACGCCGCCAGGGCCTCCTCGTAGTAGGCCACCGTGTAGGGCCGCAGCAGGCTGAAGTAGGCCAGCGTCGAGCGGTAGGTGAGGCCGCTGAGGTAGGAGGGCATGGAGGTCACCGAGACGCCTGGGACGAACGCGTGCGAGGGACAGGAAAGAGGCCGCGGATTGCGTGAGGCTCTGACGGGGGCGATGTACATGCACAGCCCTCTTTAACCCTTGCCCGTTTCGATGACGTATGTGTACATTATCAAAACGAAAACGGAATAAAAACTAAAAATAAAATAACTATAGCGGTACTGTGTCTCCCACAAGGCCATGCAGGAGGGATGTGTGGCACAGTTTGGCACCAGCTATCGTGGAGTGCGGTCGTGTCGCTACAGTTCTCTAAATAAAATTAACGCTCAGCCGCTTGCGCGTTCCGAGATTCAGCGGTGAATGGGACACCACCCTGCAACTTGCAGACATCTTGGAGCGGGAAAGGGGTTAAGTCGATCCTCATCACTCTTCTATCGCCACAACAGCATCATCTGTTCTTTCGCGTATCCATCGCCTTTCAGCCTTCGCCTCCACCCACTTACCCTATAAATTGCTTAGATTCATGTCGTTTCAATATTCGCGTTTGCTACTTGTTGCAGATGTTGGCTCACCTCGATGCCTGCGGGTAGGTAGAGAGTTTCACGAATCTGTGTCATCCACCAACCCTCACATTCACGAATGGAGAGCCGGGCTCACTCACGCACCTTTGGCCATGTGTTCGAGGCTGCCGGCGACCATGCTGTCAAACACCTGGGCGCGGACGCGGCCGATGATGGTGCCGTAGCGCCCGGGCTCGCCTTGGGCGACGAGCAGCATGAGGCTGAACATGTAGGCGCCCACCGACATGGCGTGCACGTAGAGGGGGCGGCCGCCCTCCGGCGAGCCTGCGGAGCAATGCGGGAACAACCCATTAGCATGGTTGGCTACGCACGGTGCGAAAGAAGTTCAACCAGCGTCATCTGGGGTGACGAGGGATGGGGTCGAGTGGTGGGGGGAGGGGGTTTGCGGCGGCCATCCTGGAATAAACAAAAAAAACCTTGCAGATGTGGAAGATGGGCGGTGATGAGGCCAAGCGGTAGCGCGTTTGCTACTTGTTGCAGAGGTTTTGCGGTTCAAACCACCCGTCGCCCCGGTTAATACTGCGGCTGTGTTAGTACGACTGTTGGCATCGCCTAATTAGGATTTCACACGAGTGCTGACAGGCCCATGTACACTTGCAAGCCAGTGTTGTGTCACCGTGTGCTGCGCAATAGCAACACAGGAATGTAGTTGACATTGACTGTAATGTTTATCACACTAGACTATGCTGATGTCATCCAACCTAACCCATTCGATGTTTTTATTGCCTAAGATATATATAATTATTAAGCTACGATACATATAAAAATCCAGGTTTATTTTACTTAAGCCGTATATTGAACCAGGTTCTCAATCGTACTCACTGACGGAAAGAATCCTGAGCATTGCTTCAACTGTCGAGCAGCGAGAATGGAACCGAACCGGCGACCTCTGGATTTACAAGTCGAGGTGTGCCGACCATCGCAGCGCAGCGCAGCAGACGCGTCCCACGCAGGAGTACGACGCCTAATCACGACAGCACGCACACACACGCGTGTGCCCGTCACCGTCGTGCCCGCGTACCGTCGCCTCCCGTTAGCCGCGGCTCCGTCGCGAGCAGCTCCAGCGCGCGCCGCGCTCGCACAATCCCCGAGCGCGGCCACAGGAAGTGGGAAACGTGGCTCTCCACAGTGAACACGTCCATGCCCAGGGCATGGTACAGGTCGCGGTAGCGCTGCGCGGCTTGCGGACGCGCGCCGAGCCACGGCAGGAACACGGCGAGGGGCCGCGCCGACGGGCGCGCTTGCCGCGGCGTCGCCGCCGGCGCAGTCGGATCGCCGGCCCCCAGGACGACGCCGCCGTTGGCGTCCCCGCCGGGGAGCGCGTGCACCGTAAAGCCGTCGTCCAGCGCGTGCAAGAAGACGTTCGACTTCGCGGAGTTGCTGTCACCGTCGCCGCGAGTGCCGCTCATCGCTCGGCGCTGCAAATCGAATCGCATGGGAAGGAGGGGAGGCCACGGATTACGATGGGGACATCGGTGATCAGTGGCAGCTCCTCGGTTTGGTTGGAGCGTGCGTTTGGTTCGGCGGTTACGCCTCGTTTGTCATTTGCGTCGCGAAATCACCGATATCAGTTTATCTGCGGGCAGGAATTCACTGCGGATTGATAGTTCCACGACACAGAGTGCAGCCACTGTGTCGACGCGCCACCATCAATATAATTAAACATATACTTCTTTGGTTCTTTCGGTAAAGTCACGTATAACACAAGCAATCATCATCAGGTATAAATTAAATTATACCTGATGATGATTGCTTGTGTTGCAATCGAAACGTCGTATGCTAGTATTAAATTTATTTAATTATTTTATCTTTATACGTGACTTTACCGAAAGAACCAAAGAATAATTCCTGCAGTCACGAAAGCTCCAAATTAAGTTTAAACATATACTGTGAATATACAAGGTTGTAGGCAGAAGGCCCATTGAGCCTTCGATCAGTAAGGAGGTCGCTCATTCTCCTCTGTTGCATCCATAGTCTGGGACTTCCTTTCCCCAGCCATCTGTGCTGCGCAGTTATCAATTGTTCACGAAGATCACGAGGAAATGATAAGGACCACGGCAGCAAGCAAAGTTTATGAAACGTTTCCCTGTTTACCAGGTGTCTCCCTGTTTAGCAGGTGTCTCCCTGTTTACCAGGTGTCTCCCTGTTTAGCAGGTGTCTCCCTGTTTAGCAGGTGTCCCTGTTTACCAGGTGTCCCTGTTTACCAGTTGTCTCTGTTTACCAGGTGTCTCTGTTTACCAGGTGTCTCCCTGTTTACCAGGTGTCTCCCTGTTTACCAGGTGTCTCCCTGTTTACCAGGTGTCTCTGTTTACCAGGTGTCTCCCTGTTTACCAGGTGTCTCTGTTTACCAGGTGTGTCCCTGTTTACCAGGTGTCCCTGTTTACCAGGTGTCTCTGTTTACCAGGTGTCTTCCTGTTTACCAGGTGTCTCCCTGTTTACCAGGTGTCCCTGTTTACCAGGTGTGTCCCTCTTTACCAGGTGTCTCTCTGTTTACCAGGTGTCCCTGTTTACCAGGTGTCTCTGTTTACCAGGTGTCTCCCTGTTAACCAGGTGTCCCTGTTTACCAGGTGTCTCCCTGTTTACCAGGTGTCTCCCTGTTTACCAGGTGTCTCCTGTTTACCAGGTGTCTCCCTGTTTACCAGGTGTCTCTGTTTACCAGGTGTCCCTGTTTAGCAGGTGTCTCCCTGTTTACCAGGTGTCTCTGTTTGCCAGGTGTCTCTGTTTACCAGGTGTCTCCCTGTTTACCAGGTGTCTCCCTGTTTACCAGGTGTCTCCCTGTTTACCAGGTGTCTCCCTGTTTACCAGGTGTCTTCCTGTTTACCAGGTGTCTCCCTGTTTACCAGGTGTCTCTGTTTACCAGGTGTCCCTGTTTACCAGGTGTCTTCCTGTTTACCAGGTGTCTCCCTGTTTACCAGGTGTCTTCCTGTTTACCAGGTGTCTCCCTGTTTACCAGGTGTCTCCCTGTTTACCAGGTGTCTCTGTTTACCAGGTGTCCCTGTTTAGCAGGTGTCTCCCTGTTTACCAGGTGTCTCTGTTTGCCAGGTGTCTCTGTTTACCAGGTGTCTCCCTGTTTACCAGGTGTCTCTGTTTGCCAGGTGTCTCTGTTTACCAGGTGTCTCTGTTTGCCAGGTGTGTCTCTGTTTACCAGGTGTCTCCCTGTTTACCAGATGTCTCCCTGTTCACCAGGTGTCTCCCTGTTTACCAGGTGTCCCTGTTTACCAGGTGTCCCTGTTTACCAGGTGTCTCCCTGTTTACCAGGTGTCTCTGTTTACCAGGTGTCTCTGTTTACCAGGTGTCTCCCTGTTTACCAGGTGTCTCCCTGTTTACCAGGTGTCTCTCTGTTTACCAGGTGTCTCTCTGTTTACCAGGTGTCTCTCTGTTTACCAGGTGTCTCTGTTTACCAGGTGTCTCCCTGTTTACCAGGTGTCTCTGTTTGCCAGGTGTCTCTGTTTACCAGGTGTCTCCCTGTTTACCAGGTGTCCCTGTTTACCAGGTCTCCCTGTTTACCAGGTGTCTCTGTTTACCAGGTGTCTCCCTGTTTACCAGGTCTCCCTGTTTAACAGGTGTCTCTGTTTACCAGGTGTCTCTGTTTACCAGGTGTCCCTGTTTGCCAGGTGTGTCCCTGTTTACCAGGTGTGTCTCTGTTTACCAGGTGTCTCTGTTTACCAGGTGTCTCCCTGTTTACCAGGTGTCTCCCTGTTTACCAGGTGTCTCCCTGTTTACCAGGTGTCTCCCTGTTTACCAGGTGTCCCTGTTTACCAGGTCTCCCTGTTTACCAGGTGTCTCTGTTTACCAGGTGTCTCCCTGTTTACCAGGTGTCTCTGTTAACCAGGTATCTCTGTTTACCAGGTGTCTCCCTGTTTACCAGGTGTCTCCCTGTTTACCAGGTCTCCCTGTTTACCAGGTGTCTCTGTTTACCAGGTGTCTCCCTGTTTACCAGGTCTCCCTGTTTACCAGGTGTCTCTGTTTACCAGGTGTCTCTGTTTACCAGGTGTCCCTGTTTGCCAGGTGTGTCCCTGTTTACCAGGTGTGTCTCTGTTTACCAGGTGTCACTGTTTACCAGGTGTCTCCCTGTTTACCAGGTGTCTCCCTGTTTACCAGGTGTGTCCCTGTTTACCAGGTGTCTCCCTGTTTACCAGGTGTCCCTGTTTACCAGGTCTCCCTGTTTACCAGGTGTCTCTGTTTACCAGGTGTCTCCCTGTTTACCAGGTGTCTCCCTGTTCACCAGGTCTCCCTGTTTACCAGGTGTCTCTGTTTACCAGGTGTCTCCCTGTTTACCAGGTCTCCCTGTTTACCAGGTGTCTCTGTTTACCAGGTGTCTCTGTTTACCAGGTGTCCCTGTTTGCCAGGTGTGTCCCTGTTTACCAGGTGTGTCTCTGTTTACCAGGTGTCTCCCTGTTTACCAGGTGTCTCCCTGTTTACCAGGTGTCTCCCTGTTTACCAGGTGTCCCTGTTTACCAGGTCTCCCTGTTTACCAGGTGTCTCTGTTTACCAGGTGTCTCCTTGTTTACCAGGTGTCTCTGTTTACCAGGTATCTCTGTTTACCAGGTGTCTCCCTGTTTACCAGGTGTCTCCCTGTTTACCAGGTCTCCCTGTTTACCAGGTGTCTCTGTTTACCAGGTGTCTCCCTGTTTACCAGGTCTCCCTGTTTACCAGGTGTCTCTGTTTACCAGGTGTCTCTGTTTACCAGGTGTCCCTGTTTGCCAGGTGTGTCCCTGTTTACCAGGTGTGTCTCTGTTTACCAGGTGTCTCTGTTTACCAGGTGTCTCCCTGTTTACCAGGTGTCTCCCTGTTTACCAGGTGTCCCTGTTTACCAGGTCTCCCTGTTCACCAGGTGTCTCTGTTTACCAGGTGTCTCCCTGTTTACCAGGTGTCTCCCTGTTCACCAGGTCTCCCTGTTGACCAGGTGTCTCTGTTTACCAGGTGTCTCCCTGTTTACCAGGTCTCCCTGTTTACCAGGTGTCTCTGTTTACCAGGTGTGTCTCTGTTTACCAGGTGTCCCTGTTTGCCAGGTGTGTCCCTGTTTACCAGGTGTGTCTCTGTTTACCAGGTGTCTCTGTTTACCAGGTGTCTCCCTGTTTACCAGGTGTGTCCCTGTTTACCAGGTGACTCCCTGTTTACCAGGTGTCTCTGTTTACCAGGTGTCTTCCTGTTTACCAGGTGTCTCCCTGTTTGCCAGGTGTCTCCCTGTTTGCCAGGTGTCTCCCTGTTTGCCAGGTGTCTCTGTTTACCAGGTGTCTCCCTGTTTACCAGGTGTCTCCCTGTTTACCAGGTGTCTGTTTACCAGATGTCTCCCTGTTTACCAGGTGTGTCCCTGTTTACCAAGTGTCTTCCTGTTTACCAGGTGTCTTCCTGTTTACCAGGTGTTTCTGTTTACCAGGTGTCTTCCTGTTTACCAGGTGTTTCTGTTTACCAGGTGTCTCCCTGTTTACCAGGTGTCTCTGTTCACCAGGTGTCCCTGTTTACCAGATGTGTCCCTGTTTACCAGGTGTCTCCCTGTTTAGCAGGTGTCTCTGTTTACCAGGTGTCTCTGTTTATCAGGTGTCCCTGTTTACCAGGTGTTTCCCTGTTTACCAGGTGTCTACCTGTTTACCAGGTGTCTCTGTTTGCCAGGTGTCTCTGTTTACCAGGTGTGTCCCTGTTTACCAGGTTTCTCCCTGTTTACCAGGTGTCTCCCTGTTTACCAGGTGTCTCCCTGTTTGCCAGGTGTCTCCCTGTTTGCCAGGTGTCTCCCTGTTTACCAGGTGTCTCTGTTTGCCAGGTGTCTCTGTTTACCAGGTGTCTCCCTGTTTACCAGGTGTCTCCCTGTTTACCAGGTGTCTCCCTGTTTACCAGGTGTCTCTCTGTTTACCAGGTGTCTCTCTGTTTACCAGGTGTCTCTGTTTACCAGGTGTCTCCCTGTTTACCAGGTGTCTCTGTTTGCCAGGTGTCTCTGTTTACCAGGTGTCTCCCTGTTTACCAGGTGTCCCTGTTTACCAGGTCTCCCTGTTTACCAGGTGTCTCTGTTTACCAGGTGTCTCCCTGTTTACCAGGTGTCTCTCTGTTTACCAGGTGTCTCTGTTTACCAGGTGTCTCCCTGTTTACCAGGTGTCTCTGTTTGCCAGGTGTCTCTGTTTACCAGGTGTCTCCCTGTTTACCAGGTGTCTCTGTTTGCCAGGTGTCTCTGTTTACCAGGTGTCTCCCTGTTTACCAGGTGTCCCTGTTTACCAGGTGTGTCCCTGTTTACCAGGTGTCTCCCTGTTTACCAGGTGTCTCTGTTTGCCAGGTGTCTCTGTTTACCAGGTGTGTCCCTGTTTACCAGGTTTCTCCCTGTTTACCAGGTGTCTCCCTGTTTACCAGGTGTCTCCCTGTTTGCCAGGTGTCTCCCTGTTTGCCAGGTGTCTCCCTGTTTACCAGGTGTCTCTGTTTGCCAGGTGTC